TGCTCCCTCCTCTCCCTCGCCTCCCCCCGCCGCGCGCCCCGGCCCGCAGCGACGCGCCCGCCTCGGCCACGCCCCTCACCGACTCCTCTGCGGCCACGAGCCTCTCGCCCAGCCCGCGCGCCGACGCCGCCGCCTCTCCCTCACCGTGCGCGAGCCTGTACGCCGAGACACGGCCGAAGGTGTGGCCGAGAGGCGGCCGAGAGAGCCGCATCCCCTCCCCGGGCTCGCGCGCGCCGCTGCTCTGCGCTGGCCAGCCGCTCGCACACCTCCGCCAGCCGCCTCGCCAGCTCCGCCCGCTCCTTGCCGCCCTCCTTCTCGCGCTGCGACTGACCGCGCGACGCCGCCGTCGCCGCCGTCGCCGCCGCCTCGCGGCTAGCGTCAAAGGCGGAGAGCGACGGTGCTACCACCTGGTTGCGGAGAGGGTGGTCGAATCGGGAGCGGCAGTGGTCCATGAGGCGGCGGGTCTCGGAGGCCCGGCGGGAGAGGGGCAGGGCGTCGCCCGCAGCACACCTCGCTGCGCCACCGACGGAGTGACGCCACCTCGGCCGCGAGCGGCTTCAGCTCCTTTGCCGTTCTCAGCCTCGCCTCCGCCTCGGAGGCGGCCTTCTCACGCAGCGATCGCACCTCCGCCTGCAGCTCGCTGACGACGGAGCCGAGCCGCTCGGCCTCCGCCCCGCGAGCGCGCTCGCTGCGCAGCTCCCGCCTCAGCTCCGCCACCTCAGCCTTAAGCGCCTCGGTCGCGCCCGTCTGCTCCGACGCCACGCGCCGCAGCGCCTCGCCGTGTGCCGCGCCGGCCGCACGCAGCGCCGACACCTCTCCGGCGAGTGTTTCGCTCACGCACTCAATCGCTCGGTGCAGGCCGCCGCTGCGGCCACTGCTACTGCCAGCACTGCTGCTGTCGCGGACGCCAGGCTGGTTGCTGCCGCTGCTGCTGTGGCCGCCCGTCTGCTCGAGCCGCATCTGCCGGATCGTCTCGCGCAGCCGCTCGAACTCGGAGGAGCTCATGCTAGAGAGCTCCAGCCGTCAACCTCGGCCTCTCGTCGCCACTGGGGGCCACAGGCTTGCCCGCAGCGCGGCTCAAGTGGACTCCGCTGCTCAAGTCGACTCAACCAGCTCGAAACGCGTGAGATAAGCTGTGTCCTTCTGTTTTCACGCTGCTCAGCACGCCCGCCGGTTAAGCTGCGGTGCAAAACTCTTTTTACCACCTTCAAGTACACCCCCAAGACTCCCCAAAACCGCCCAGGATGAGCTCCTGAGGTGCCAGTCCGCCCGAGATATGACCGGTTGAAGTTGGGGTTCCACGGTCAGGATGAGAGAGAGAGAGTGAGGCGCATGCGCCCAGGAGGGGAGGGGGCATGTGTAACGACACTGCTAGAGATGCCTTTCGGGGCCCAGAGATAAAACTTCTGTGATGCCATGCGTGACCTAGTAGTGTCCCCAGCTATGGGCGTGTCCACGTTGGAGCCAGGTGTGGTGTGGGCGCGAGAATAGCTCCGCCGTTCATGGAGGCAACCGATGCGAGTCGACTGGTGTGTGTCGTCGTGGTTTCGTATCAAGAATTCTCTCTCTCACGGTCAGGATGGAGGTGCTGAACTGGATGGGGGTCAGCCAGGGAGGCTGTTGTGGCGCACCGGACCGCCCCCCAGCACCGTGCCCCACCCAACTGCATCCATGGGAGTCACAAACGGTGCTACACTCGCGGCTGCAAGCACTCACGACACTCAAACCCACCACCTGCCTCCTACCCTGTACGAGGAGCCATTTCACCCGTGCAACATCTGCACAGGTGTACCGCCGACGCTCAAGCGCCTGGCCCCTACTAGAGTAGTCTTGTGGGACCCACAAACGACCAATACATCCACTCGGGGCTGCAGCATGTGTCCGGGGGGGGCATCCCCGTGAAGCAGCCAGCAGGTGCCGGACACGGCGTTGGCCGTCTTGGACCGAGATCAGGGCGCAACTGCCTATCTCGTGGGGCTGAAGGACCGTCATGGGGTCGGATTTGATGCTGCCAATCAGTCGGGTCGATAGGTGGCGCCCCAGCGAGATGCGTTGCGGGTGCTCGGCGTCGCCTGCTTGTGTGGCCTGAACGCACTCGCCGGAGCCAGAGAGCAAAGGTGTGCGCGAATTGAGGCTTCTGAGCGAGTCCAGGCAAGCCACAGGACCGGCCATGTGCCTTGGTAGTCGAGCGGTGGCCGGAGGTAGCCTCCAGTAGTGCCTCTCAGTTCGGCACCTCGGTCTCGACCACGACCAGACTGGGAGAAGGACACTGCTTATAGAATTCTTTTTTTGCCTCTCGCACCCCGTCTGTTTTCGTTTCCTTTCCCCCCCCCCCTCCCCCATTCCTCTTCTCCCTTTTTTCTCTACAACCCCAAGTCGAGCAATGGCGCGAAGCTATTAACAAGGAACTTTCTGGTCTCGTTGCCCTCGACACCCAGTCGACACCTGGGACCTTGTACCTATTGATTGCTTCTAGAGAGATATTTTTATTAACCAAGTGTCTGTTTTCTTTCTTTCTTTCCATCCCTCCCTTGGGTCGTCTGTTTTTTTCTTTCTTTCATTTAAGTGGGACTGTCTGTCTGCTGTTAGCTAGGGGAAACCTGGAGCGCGGTACTAACCCTCGGAGAACCGTGTTTACTTTACGGCCCTTTCCCTGCGAACGCGCACCCCCCAGGGCTAGGGCTCTCTAGCCCGTAACCCGATGCTGTGGGGCTTGCCCTTGGACTTGTGTATGCCGGGCGTGTCGAGCACTTGGTTGCGGAGGCGGTGAGAGGGAGAGAGGCTACCTCCTGCGCTCCCCAGGCGGCCTCACCGGAGCCTGCGGTGGAGAGAGAGAGAGACTGCGGCGCGTGCTTGGGCCTGGCAGTGGGCGGTGGGGGGTGCGCTCAGTACATCGGGGGCGCCTGCACGCGCGGAAACGCGAAAAAAGAAACGCAGGAGCGGCTTGTTATTGCGTGACTTCTTGTCCGAACGAACGGCGCGCCCGACCACGCATTCTGCATGCAACCCCAATGCCCAGCTCCGGCCTCATGCGGCGAGTGATTCTTTTTAGACCTTCCCGGCAAATCGACGGAACAACACCGCCGGAAGGAGCCGCTCACTCGCCGGTCAGAGCGAGAGAAGCCAGGATGCGGCGCGTCGCGACGATAAACCTCGCGCAAGATCACTCAGAGTACAGCAATGATAACAAGGACGTGCGCGGCGGTGGGATCTGCGCGCCGTCTGACGTCAAAGAGATGGACGAGACCGAGTTCCTGAACGGCTGCCGCCTCCTTCACGCAGTCGCCCGCAACGACACGAGCGCCGTGCGCGCACTTCTCGCCTCGGGCTGCAGCGTCAACTTTCGCGACTACGACCGGCGGACCGCGCTGCACGTGGCGTGCTCGGAAGGGCACGCAGCATCTCCCGCCGCTCCTCCTTGGTACTCAATCTCCCAGCGACGAGGGAAGGGCACCATAGGCACGCAGCGCTCGCCCGCGAGCTCGTCCTCTCCGGCGCGCGCGCGCACCGGCTCGACCGGTGGGGAGGCACGTGCCTGGACGACGCTCTCCGCCACCGGCACGCGCTGATCGCGGAGTGGCTGCGCACCGAGGTCGGCATGAAGGTGACCGGCCCGTCCGACCCGGTCGGTCTGATGGTCGCCGCCGGCAAACCAGCTCGTCTGGAAGGGGGGCTGAAGTGAGGAGCGGGTTCTTCACACCCGCGGCGCTGTGAACAGGCAAGGGAGACCTCGCTGAGGTTCGCACGCTCGTCGAGTCGGACGGCATCGACGTCGACCGCGCCGCCTTCGACGGGCGGACGGCCCTCCACCTCGCCGCCTCGGAGGGGCGGGCCGAGGTGGTGCAGTACTTGCTCGCGGCAAAGGCAAACCCCGACTCGACCGACCGGTGCGGCGCCCAGCCCCTCGACAGCTGCAGGAAGGGGTGGCCGAGGGCCGGTGACCGACCGGCTCCTTCCCGTAGGTGGGGCGGCCAGCCCCTCGACGACGCGTCCAAGCGCGGCCACGCCGCCTGCGCAAAGCTGCTCGAGGCGGCCGGCGCGACGAGGGGGGCGGGGGCGGGGGCCAGGGGCGGCGTCGCGGCGGCCGGCGCCCCGTCCTCGGCGGGTGTGGTCGAGTCGCTCGCGTGCGACATGCGCGACGTGAAGCTGCTCGAGAAGATCGGTTCGGGCGGCTTCGGCGACATCTTCCGGGCGACGTGGCGAGGCACGCCCGTCGCGTGCAAGCGGATCCGCGCCGACCTGATCAACGAGGAGAAGAGGGTAGCGCTTCAGGACTTGGCGATCGAGGTGACGCACCTGCAGCAGCTGAGGCACCCCAACATCTGCATGCTGCTCGGCTACTCGACGAGCGAAAACAACCCCGTGATGCTGTCCGAGCTGATGCGCTGCTCGCTGCTCGATGTGCTGCGCGCGGGGAATGTGCACGGCGGAGGCAAGCCCGCCCTCTCCAAGCGGAGGTCGGTGCGGTACGCGGTGCAGCTGGCGCAGGGCATGAACTACCTGCACACCTGCAAGCCGCCGATCATGCACCGCGACCTCAAGCCGGCCAACCTGCTCGTCGACTTTTCAGGCACGCTCAAGGTGAGCGACTTTGGCCTCGCCAAGCTGCGGCCGGCGCCGAGCGCGCGCGCGTCGGACGCCAAGGCGGCCTTCATGACCGGCGAGACGGGCTCGTACCGCTTCATGGCGCCGGAGGTGTTTCGCCATGAGGAGTACGACGAGAGCGTCGACGTCTACTCCTTCTCGATGATCCTCTTCTACATGCTCCGCGGGATGCCGCCCTTCCTCCACCTCGGAGGAGTCGACGCCGCCGTCGCCGCAGCCATCCGGCAGGAGCGGCCTCCCATCCCGCGCGCCTGGGACGAGAAGATCACGCACCTGCTGCAGGCGGCCTGGTCCGAGAACCCGGCGAGCCGCCCCTCCTTCCAAAAGGCGCGCGAAGCGCATGATCGGCCTCTGTCGGCGCACCTCTGGCAGGCGCGGGTGACCTCCCCGCCGCGCCCCTTGCTGGCAGGCCCTCGACACGCTCCGCGAGTACTACAAGGCCAACTTCAAGGCCTCGCTCGAGGACGACCTCAAGAAGGAGGCGGCCGAGAACCACGGCAAGGAGTGCGTCATCTGCTGAGCCGGGCGGGCGCGACAGCACGGAGGGGTAGGGAGGAGCTGCACCTCTGGTGGGAGGCATTCCGCAGGGAGGGGAAAGCAAGTTGAAGCGGTAGTGCGAGAGAGAGCGGAGGGAGATTTTATTGCGCCAGCATGATACGACTGTTTCTGGTCGTTCTCGAGAGTGGGGTCGTGTGAGCTCGTGTGGGCCCCCCCGGGGTTCGCTACGAGGACGCGCGGTCCATATACTGTGGTGTGTACGGGGACCGGGGCGCGGGGGGAACGGGAAGGACCCGTGCCGCTCAGTGCTCAGTCGCGTGTGAGCAGTCGAGAGGAGCTGCTCTCCAGGCTTCAGGCGCAAAGAGCTGCATGCCACCGAAGGCGCTGTCGAGGTTCGCCGAGCGCGGCGCAGGTTGGGGGACACCGTCACCGACGAGTGCGTTGGAGTATTCACTCCGGACGATAAAGACGGCCGCACGCACACGAGCTGCGGTCGTGCGGCCGTCATAGCGGCGAGGCGCGGGACCGTCTGTGGCCGCGCTTGCCCTCGCGGCTCGCGCGGGGCGCCGCCGCACCAAAACATACACGGTCGCACGACTACAGCGGCACCAGCCTCGTGCAAACCCGGTCACCGCTTTCGGCAGAGCGTGACTCCGTCCGCGATGCCGAGCATGACGATGCTCACGCGCGGGTCTGAGGCGAGCTTGTCGTTGATCGCCTGCCGCCTCGGGGCAAGGCTGGGTCAAGCCTCCTCGGGCCTCGGGCGGGCAACGGGTGTCGCGTGTACGGAGGGGTCATGTGTGTGTGTGTGTGTGTGTGTGTGTGTGTGTGTGTGTGTGTGATGGTCGTGTGGGTTGCGTTTCGCCTGGATCGCGGCCGTGTCGGCCGTCGCTGCGGGCGCCTCGAGCACCCTGCCGCCCCAGAGCGTGTTGTCGACGGCGACCACGCCGCCTCTGCGGAGAAGCGCGAGGGCCTGCTCGTAGTAGTCGTCGTAGTCCGCCTACGCCGTGCCTCTCGCTCTGCCGTCGCTCACCCCTCCCTCTCCTCTCGCCGTGCACGGACACTCCCTCGGCGCGGCTCGCCTTGTTGGCATCGATGAAGACGAGGTCGAACGAGCCGCCGCCACCCTCCGCCAGCAGGAGTCGCATGCTCTCCGACGCGGGGCCGAGCCGCAAGTCGATCTTGCCGCCGACGCCCGCCTTGTCCCAATACCGCCGCCCCGTCGAGCAAAAGTCGCCATTCAGCTCGAGCGCCACTACCTTGCCCTCTTGCGGCAGCGCCGAAGCGAGCGCGAGCGTCGTCGAGCCGCGAAAGACGCCGACCTCGAGGACCCGCTTGGCGCCCATAAGCTCGACCAGCCAGCCGAGGAAATGCGCCTACGGCCACGAGGGTTGTCACTCGCCTCTCGCGCGCTTCGCAGGTCTCTCTCGCAGCCTCGCCTCATCAGGGCTGCCCATCATGCGCGCACGCGGCTCCCGCTCCACGGCGGCAAAGAGCTCCTGGAGCGGCTCGCTCGGCCGCGTCCCCTTCTCGAGCAGGTACGGGTACAGCGCCGGGTCCGCCGAGGCCAGCGTCGGACCTCCATGCCGCTTGGCTGTCTGGCCTCGGCTGCGGGCGGCGTAGAGGCGGCGGGCGTAGAGAGCAGCCGAGGCACCGAGCAACGCGCCGGTGACGAGCCAGCCCTGGTCGCGCGAGGTGTGAGGGACCGGACAGAAGGACATCGCCGATCCGAAGACAACAAGGCGCTCTAAAGAATTTGCCAGCGCCGAGGAGAGTGGAAGCGTCGCAGGAGGAGGCAGACGAGAGCGACGCGACAGAGGAGGAAGCGATAGGAGGGAGAACGACGAGAGTGGGACGACCGCGAGGTGGCATGAAGGTTGCAGCGAGAATCGGCGAGGGACTGCGAAGGGAGATAGAAAGAGGCAGACGACCAAGGCGCAAGGGTTAGGGTGGGCGACGGCTAGCACCACACTCCTCTCCTTAAAATCCCTGTGTGGTGGCGGCGTGCCGTCCTCCCATCCCTCCCTTTCGTCTGTTTTCTTTCTTTCTTTAGAGGATGCGTGGAAGCGAGCGGCTGATGCGCAACCTACGACCTAGCCGTGAACACTCCCGCCGTGTACGTCACCATCGCCTCTCTTCGTCGCCGATCTCGCCGACGCCGCTCGCCGCTCGCCGCCGCCCTGCCCTGCCCTGCCCAGCCCTCGCACAAACAAACCAACACACACACACACACAACACACACACATACACACATACACACACACACACAACACGCCCTGCCCTCACTCGAGCGCCCCGCGCCCTCCCGCCCCACGCCCTGCGCCTCACGCCTCGCGTCCCACGCACGCCCCGCGCCCCGCGCCCCCACGCCCCTCACCTTGCGCCTCACGCCTCCCTCCCCACCCTCTCAGGCATTTCTCCTCCCTGCTGCTCGCCGACACTTCTCCCCCCCGCATGACCGACGACTACCCGTCCTTCGGCGACTCCTCCCTCGTCGGCGCCAACGCCTACTACCCGTTCGGCCCGGTGAGGGGCGGGAGCGCAGCCATTCCAACGGCTGGGGAAAATTCTGAACGGCCGTGCATGCATCTGCATGCCGGCTTACTAAGAAGGTCCCTCGCTCCCGCTCCTCTCTCGGAAGACGCGCGCCTGCCGGGGGGACTCGCTTGCGATCCTGTTCCAGCCAGAGGCCGCGTGAGGCGTGTGGGGCGGTGCACGCTGGGGCTCGGCCCCAAGTGCACTGGCCTCGCGTCTCGAGGGGAGGGCAGCTCGTAACTGAGGTTCGCCGTCAGAGACAGTCGTCCTCCCCTCAACCCGACGAGAGGGGGCGGGCAGTCCCCGTGGCTGCAGTCGCGCTTCCGAGCCGACTCCGCCCCTCTCTCCACCCGGCCATTCCAACGGCCAGGCCGCTCGCTTAAGGCTGATTGGGTAGACGAGCGGCCTACCTCCAACGGGGCAGTCTGCTCACGCGTGGATCCGGCCCGCCCCACAGCGGGTTACGGTTTAGCGCCGACAGACAGGGGAGGTCTAAGCCGAACCCGCCGGGCCGCTGGCGGGGTGACGGTAGACCACCACTGCAGACAGCCCTTCCCGACGGGGAGACGCCACCACCCTCGCCCAGGGATCTACAATGCTGTCTCAAGGTCCGACCTGTGGGCACCGCCTGCGCTCGGCACCGGGCACCGCCTCGGTATACAAAATGCGCCTGCGGGCGGACCCTCACAGATCACAGATCACCTACGACCTAGTGTGGTGCGAAGGGATGGAGAGGCGGGACCAGCGGCGAGCCCTGCCCCCCTCCCTCATCGTGGGGAAGCAAGGGCTAGGTCCCCCCCCCCCGAGTGCGGTAGGTAGACGACCGACCGACGCGTGGAGCCGCAACGGCCACAGGGACCAGGGGCCGCCCCCGGGGCTCCACACCAGGCGTTGCGGCCGCCCGTACCGCCACCATAACCCCCCCCCCCCCCCCCGCCACCGCCACCGCCACCGCCGCCGGGTGGCCGTCACCGCACAGACCCACACGGACCCTGGGGAACCCAGAAGCAACCGCCCCATCGGAGGCTGGAATACCCGATGGGGGGGGCCGAGGAAGGGGAGGTGCCGCGAGATGACAGCGGGTCCGCCGGTGAACCGGAAGGCCGGGACCAGAGGACCCCGGGTGGGGCCTGGAGTCAGCTATCGGAGGAGGCGAGAGGCATGCGCTGACTCGGCCTCTGCGAGGGGAGTCGGGGCACACGGGCTCACCGGGGGGTAGACCCGTGGCGGCGGCGACCGGACCATCATGAATTACGACAAGGAAGCCCGCGCCTCCCCGAGCTCGATGAGGAGGCCGGCGGAAGGGGTGGGCGAGCCGAGCACGATAGAGAGACCGCGGAGGTGCGGGCGCGATTCGTCGACCAGGGTGAGACGGCCCGACACCTCCCGAGGAGATGCGGCGGCATGCTCCGACGCCGCCACCCTCACCCGGGGAGACCTTGGCCGGGCCATCGACGCTCTCGGAGGCGGCGGCACCAGTCGATGGGTGAAGCGGAGCAGAGGACACAACCGAAGAAGAATGATGATCGGCCGGCCGGCGATCCCGAAGGGTCGTCGGTTGAGCTAGGGAGCCTGGCGATGGACGCCACCGCGACCCCTCGTGGCATCTCTCTCGCCGTCGGCGAGCTGGGGGCTCGCGGACGGCCGAACAATTAGTATAACAGTGTACAGCCGTGAGAAGTAGTTCAACTGTGAACGGGGGGCATGTGCGGGACCGGTGTCAGGTCGGCTTGCCTTCTGCCCTGTTTGTCGGCCCTTGCGAGAGACGCCCGCATCCCACGGCTCTTGTTTCCGGCATCAGAAACGACTGCGGAGGCAGTCTGGCAACGCCCGGAAGGCGAGCAGGGGATCGGACCGAGCCGAGGGCTCGCCCCGACGGGCGGAGGACGGGACTCTGGGACTGTGGGGTCGGACGAGAGCACATGAGGCGTACAGTTCCGGACGGGCATTAAGAACGCACAGGTTCTTCGCCCAGCCTCAGGTTCTTAGCTAAGTCGGCGGTCCGTCGGGGGCCGAGCCTCAGGTTCTTAACCGGGTGGATGGTTTTTTAAACCGTTTCGGCTTCGATTAAAAATCAATAAATGGGTCTTAAAACAGTTTGGAAGTTTGGAACAGTAAGTTCGCGCATGGCGTGACAAGAGAGTCATTCGCTGCCGTGAGCTGCCCCTGCGGCTGCGGCCGCGGGGGCAGGGGCGCCGGCTGCAGGCGTTGGCCCAGCCTCAGGTTCTTAGGGAGTTCTTAGGGATCCGGCCGAAATATGAGCCTCAGGTTCTTAACGTTAGAGGTTCTTAATGCCCGTCCGGAACTGTATCCGTGTACGTGCGTGTGGAGTACGGTGTTGTGTGTCCGTTAGCTCCGAGTAGAGGGGGCGTTCTGCAGTCAAGGGGAAACCCGGTACACGGAACTCCCTCGGCATGCCATCTCAAAGCCTGTACAAGGCCTCGTTATCCTGCCGTGGACACGAAAAAGACCTCCAATCGTCGCAATCGACCCACGTCCACAAGCTCAAGCACCCCCCCCCCCCCTGCGTCATATCGACGCACGACGGGCTGCGGCATATGTTGAGCATGTGTGCCTCCACCACCCTCGCCCAGGGATCTACAATGCTGTCTTAAGGTCCGACCTGTGGGCTCTGCCTGCGCTCGGCACCGGGCACCGCCTCGGTATACACAAAACACAATACAAAAATAATGGTGGTAAATCTAAATGTGCGCCTGCGCGCGGGGGCGGACCGCGGACCCTCCTCGCGCTCCTCCACCTCCTCTCCTCCGTCACACCGTCAGCGTCACAGATCGTCATAACAGAACACAGATCACTGACACTGTGTACACAGCGCAGTTTACAGTGCTTGCCATTTACTGGTAAATGAGTGGTATTTACCACTTCGCACTTGCTAGTAGAGCGTGGTATGGTAAAATACGAAACTCCGTGGAATCATCAATTTTTCGAGCTCTGAGCCGAGTCTGAGGCTGGTTTGCCGCCAAATTCAGCAGAATCGGCACAAAAAATACCGGGTATTTTGCGGGTATATACCGCTGGAAAACCCCAGGGTATACCTGGGAAATACCCGGTATTTTGCCGATTTCTCCGCGATGTCTGTCAGATTTTGCCTCAGAAGTCGTGGTAAATCTTACCACCGTTTGATTGTTTGGCCGTAGAGTGTTTGATTGTTCTGGTGGGCTATACCAGTAAATGGCAAGCACTGACATAAAGCCGTACGGCTTTACCGCTGCAGACTTCTCTCAAAAACTCTCTCTCCGCATGATATCTACCATGTTCTCGTTAAAACCGCGACTCGTTTGGGTTACTCCCCCGGTGGGCGTGACCTTTTAAGGTACGTGTAGCTAGGGAGAAGTCAGAAGACGGTCACTGCCGAGCGACCACAGTAGGCCAAAATTCCCACAGCCTGCCACCCGGGACCAACTCCCTCGCCGCTGTTTTGCACATGTCGCTGGTCGGAGCCATTTCGAGCTAAGCTAGCTAGGGAGCGCCGCACCCGGGCTTGCGGGATGGCGTGCTGGTCCCTATCCCGCAACTAGGCGTGTGTGTCGGGCCGGACGAGGATGGGTCGGCCCATGAAGTTGGACTCGTTGAACTTTTGGATGGCGCGCGCGGCGTCCATGGCGGAGCTGAAGAGGACGGTGCCAAAGCCGCGCGAGCGGCCGTCCGCGCCGTCCTTGACCTCGGCGCGGATCACGTCGCCCGCCTGTTGAGAGAGCCGGGGTCGGCGGTCCGGGAGGGGTGGGCAGAAGAGGGAGAGGGGAGAGGGAAGAGGGGGAAGAGGGGGAGGGGCTGCGGTTCCGCCTGCTTGAAGTGGTCCTTGAGGTCCTGCCACTTGCAGTCCCAGGACAGGTTGCCCACGTACACCTGGCAACCCGTCCCGCCGCCGCCGCCGCCGCCGCCGCCGCCGCCGCCGCCGCCGCGCGAAAACATGCCGCCGCCGCCGCCTCCGCTGCCGCCGCCCGCGCCCGCCTCGCGGTCCTCGCGCACGAAGATGGCGCGCCCCTTGAGGTCGGTGTCGTGGAGCGTGTCGATGGCAGTCTGCAGCGGCGGGGCGCAGGCGCGGGTCGGGAGGCAGTCGCGGGCGGCGAGGCAGGCGGTGCGCGGATGAGCGGCGTGGGTGTGGCGAGGGGCGTCGGGGCTGGCACGGGGGGGCGGTGGTGCCTTCGCGTCCTTCGGCGACCCAAAGACGACGATGCCGCACCTTTGGTGGGGAGGGCGGTGGAAAGAGGGCGGTGGGCGAGGGAGGGTACGGAGGGGGGCGAGCGAGGGAGGGGGAGGGGGCGTGGGGGCGTGGAGAGGCGCGGGGGTGAGTCACCCCTTAGACCGGCCTGTGCCATTCTCGAGAAGCACGTCGGCACGGACGACGTCGCCGACCTGCTCGCGGCAAGAGGGCGTCGAGAGGGGGCGGGGAGGTCCGGGAGCGGGGCGGGAGGGGCGGGAGGAGACGGCCGAGCGGAGGCGTGGCGAGAAGGGCGGCGGAGAGAGGGGAGCGTGCCGCAGCCTGCTTGCAGTGGTCCTTGAGGTCCTGCCAGCTCACCTCGTACGCCAGGTTGCCGACGTAGACGCTGCACCCCTGCCGCAGCGGAGCGGGGGCGGGCGGTGAGCGGCTCCGGCGACGAGGTCAGACTAACAGAGGGCCAGGCCAGCCGCCACTCACCGGCGCCGTGCCGCCGCCGCGCGACGAGGACTGCGGCGCGCCCGCCTCGCGGTCCTCGCGCACAAAAATGGGGCGGCCCTTGAGCTCCGTGTCGTGTAGCATCTCGATCGCGTTCTGCGCGTCGCGAGGCGTTCCGAACACGACGATGCCACACCCCTTTGACCGGCCGGTGCCATTCTCAAGCAGCACGTCGGCGTGCCGCACGTCGCCCGCCTGCTTGCAGTGGTCCTTGAGGTCCTGCCAGCTCACCTCGTACGCCAGGTTGCCGACGTAGACGCTGCAGCTGTGCGCTCCCGCGCCGCCACCGCCGCCACCGCCGCCCGTGGTGACGCGGCGCGCCGGCGCCCCGTACGGCGAGGTGCGGCGTGAGGCGCGGTTGGTGGTGGCCTTGCTGGCCGCCTTGCCACCCCCGCCCTTGTCCACGCGGCACAGGTCGTCGAGCGAGAGGTCGAGCTTCGAGGACATGGATGGCTCCGCTGTGGGAGCCTGCCCCTGGGAGCCTGCCGCCCCGGCTCTGCTGGTCACTGCGCGCGGAGCGCGGGGCTTTCTTTTTAGGAGGGACACATAAGGCGTCTCGGAAGCCCGGAGCAGGGCCGCCCCCGGCAATCCCGACGATCCGGAGCCCTCCCCGCCACGCATCCCCATAGCTCCAATCGCACACTCCGTCTACATCTCGTCCTTGATGCCGAACTTGTCCTTGATGGCCTTGATGAACTCGCCCTTCTCGTTGAAGCCTGCGCGCGCGGGAGGTGTGCGTTCAGGGCTCGGGGACGCCACCGCACCAGTGCCACAGAACACCCCTCCGGGCGCACCCTTGGTGGGGATGCCCTCGTCGTCGCAGATCTTGCGCAGCTCCTTGACCCGCAGCTTGGAGAGGTCTGTGTTCTTCACGTCCACCTTCTTCTCGTACCGCAGCTCGCACATCTGCGCGTCCTGCTTCTTCATGCGCGTGCACAGCCGCTTGGCATTGATCCCTCGACTCAGGCTGCCGCTCACCTCGCGCTTCACGCCGCCGGCGGTCCCCAGCTCCTTGTCGCCAATCCCCATGTAGTAGCACTGCGGGCGGGAGGGTGGCGGCGGCTCAAGGGTTCCGCGCACTGCCGACGGCAGCGCCTGCAGCCAGACTCTCTGGCCACGGTCGCCGCAGCGGGGCGGCATCGCACCATGGTCTTCTCCTTGCCCTTGGCGGAATCGCAGTACTTCTGCATGACAGCCTCAATGCCCTCCACCGTCTTGCGCTCCGCCGGCGTGACCAGCTCGTCAATCTGGCTAATGACTGCCCTGCAGACTGCGCGGGCGCAGGAGGGAGGCGGGCGGACTCAGGCGAGGCGACCGCCATAGGGCGCGGCGCGGCCGGAGTCGGCGCGGAGCCGCCCTCGCGCGCTGCGCAGGGCCGCGAGAGCGGCAACCCACACTCGCGGCGGCGAGAGGGATCCAAAAAAAGGCACACAGCCGTGCAGAGCAGTGACAGAGCGCTCGCACATCCAGAGAGTGGCACCGGGCCGTTCGCGTGGCGCGCACCCTCGCAGTCGCGCGGGTCCTCGTTCTTCTTGCCAGCGGCAAGACCAACGAGGCAGGCGAGTAGCAGGCTTCTCACAGGAGACATGGCGGCGGCGGCACGTCTGACGTGGTGTATCGCTGTTGGCGTTTGGCAAAAAGAATTTTAACTCCCTCGTCTACAAACTCGACAGCGAGGTGGCATGAAGGTTGCAGCGAGAATCGGCGAGAGACTGCGAAGAGAGATAGGAAGAGGCAGACTCCCTAGGGTGGGCGACGGATAGCGCACCACACACCTCTCCTTAAAATCCCTGTCTGTGTGGTGGCGGCGTGCCGTCCTCCCATCCCTCCCTTGGGTTGTCTGTTTTCTTTCTTTCTTTTTCGACAGCGAATGGGGTGTCTCCCTTCTTTCTTTCTTTACTCGACAGCGAAATCGCGGTCTACAGTGCTCTACATGCGCCGGCGGGATGGTTGACTTGGAAGGTGGGGAGTTGGCATCGGAGTCTGAGGCGGCGCGCTCGTGCACCCGTCCTCCGAGGCGGAGGCGTCGGCGGCGGGCCAGCGCTGGCCGGCGGGCGGCACGCGGCTCTCGGAGGGCGGGCTCGCCTCAGGCATTGAATCTCTTTGCGGGCGGGCGGGGCCTGGCGGAGAGGCAAAAGGGATCGCGCTTGGCCAAATGTATTGTGACGCGGAGGATCGTCAGAGGGCGCCCCAGAAGATGCTCTTCAATCAATCTGCTTTGACCTCCCACGTGGCCCTCCTGAGTCTCTGCGTCCTCCGAAGTTTGCAGAGACGCATTTCCTGGAGGATTCCACCTAAAAAGAAAACCGATACTGGTTCGGCTCCCCCCCCCCACGGAGTCGTATCGAGTAACACCACATGTCGATAAAAAACAAACTCGACGTCATCGACACGATCGTCGACACTGACTGCGTCACGAACACCTCGCAGCTCCGCCTCAACCTCGTCCAACGGATTGCCTGTGCAAAGACCAAGTACATTGCCGGCATCACGCCGCCCAATGTCGCGTGCGCGGCTCTCGAGTTTGCGCACAACCGCATCCGCAAGTCCTTTGAGCTGAGGGAGGGTGTAGACCTCTTTGAGTCACTGCCTTCCCGGCGGGTTTGCTGTAGAGCCTCTACAACAAACTCTACAGCAAAATCGCGCTCTACATCGCTCTACAACGCAGGCAGTTCGTCACGCGGCGGATGTAGAGCTCTACAGCTCTACAGCGCTCTCCAGCGCTCTACATCTCTACAGCGCTCTACACTCTACATCCTCTACACCCTCCCTCAGGTGGGGGGATGCCGCGGTCCCCGCGTTGGCCCCGATATGGCGTTCGCCGTTCCGACAGCGACACACCGCGGCTTCGCCGCTACCGGACACGCCCGCAGCGGCCAGCGTCCACCCTCTCGTGGCCCCTCGTCGAGCCCGGCGCACCCCGGGGAGCCGGGCGAGCGAGGGAAAGGCAGGGGGTTATAGGAGAACACGCGCCCGTGTACTTTACACGCGGCCCCGAGGAGGCCCGAGGACGCCAACCCGTGTCTTGCACTTATCTTTTACCCCGATCTTTTCTACTAACCCAAATCTTCTGGTTCCACTCTTTACATGCATAAAAAAATGTTCTTAGCTTCAAGCCCCCCTCCGAGACTAGGGACAGCCACCACCCGTACACAGGAGAGATGGGAGTGCCCCCCGCCCCCACTTGCCCTGACAACTGCACAAGATTGCGTGCCCCGAAGACGGCGACACATAGTGGGGGACACCACGCAAGGAGAGGGTGCGAAGGCAAGATTGGGGTGCTAGGTGGTGGGACCAATGAGGGGGGGTGGGCGGGGTCCTGTGGGGGTGAAATGTTGCGCGGCGAATTCGAGCCTACCCCCTCGCCGCGCCGATCCTCACGCGAAGGGTAAAAACCCTGTGGGAGAAACCCCCCCCCGTCGGCAGTCTTCAGAATGGACCCCCCCTCCCCAGCCTCCCCTGTGCATCTCGCACCCCCCATTGGCGAAGGACACGGACACTCGGCACGGGTTGAGGGGGGGGTCCCCCGGAGGATCTTTGGAGGTCGATCTCGGGTCGATCTCGGGTCAATCTCGGGTCGATCTCGGGTCGATCTCGGGTCTATCTCGGGTCTCAGGTCGGTCTCGGGTCGGTCTCGGAGTAGCCTAGAAACAGAGATGAGGTGAAATGAGGCGGGATGAGGCGAGATTAGGCGATTAGGCGAGGCTAGGCGAGGTTAGGCGAGATTTGGCGAGATTAGGCGCGGTTAGGCGAGATGCCGCGAGATGCCGCGAGATGCCGCGAGATGCCGCGAGATGCCGCGAGATGCCGCGAGATGCAGCGGGAGGCAGCGAGGTGCCTCTTTTTGCAGCAGGATGCCTCATTGTGGCTGCTATGCTGCCTGCTTACGGGTTGGCTTGGAGGGGTCAGGAGTCAGCTTAAGGTTGCTTCAGTTGCTCACGGCGACCCCAATGCGTGCGCCGGTGGGAGGGAGTGTGTGCGCGCGCGCATTGTGGCTATGTGCGCATTGTGTGTGGCAGGCCTGCTGCTGCTGGTGGTGGGAAGTGTGCTCTGTGTGTAGCGCTGCGCTGGCGTGCGGCGCGCGCGTGCTGTGCGCGTGTGCGTGTTGGATTCGCGTGTGCGTCTGTGTGTGCTGCGCTCGCGCCGCCGGTGTGTGCTGTGTGCTGTACTCTGCTGTGCGCCCTGTTTGTGCAGCTTTGAGGCGCAGGCTTGGCTGGCAGGGCTGCGCGGTGGGCTGCGGCGTGCTGCGGGTGGTCGCGCGCCTGCCTGATGGTGTGCGGCGGCCGCGCAGCCCGCCCGACCGGGTCGGCGGGTCGTCGGCGGCCCAGGGCGCGAGCATGCGGTCTGCGCTGCATTGAGGCTGCTGCGCGGCTGGCGGGTTGTTGTGCGAGTATATGGGACACGATGTCTCAAATATGAGTGGTTTTGACTCCTACCGGCTCCTGACGCTATCCCTGGCAGCTCTAATGACCAGGATCAGTAGTGCTATGATAGAGGGTGCCCATACTAGCGCAGGAGCTGCCACACTCGCCCGGACCGGCTCCCTCTGGGGCCGGTTCCGCAGCCCGTGAGAGCCGACAGCGGGGCCGTGCCGCGGGTGCCTACTGCCGAGTGCCACAAACACTGCGCCGTCCCGCCATCACCTACAGGCTGTCTTGTGTGATGGTTGGGATGTCCAAACGCCACCATCTTGGCTCTTGCGACCTCAAACCCGCGAGCTGTATGGGTGGTCCTGACGTCGACAGACGCCCGATGACCACGGTGAAGCTGAGCCGTAACGAGTCGACAAGTCTCGTCTGAGCCCGTGGCGGTCGCCGGCTGAGTCGCTGTGCACGGGCCGGTACCTCAGGCGTCACCTCCGCAGCCTCAGGTCTCACACTCCATCACCTCCGCCGGGACGCCGTCGGTGGCACGCTCGGCGGCGAGTTTGTTGCAGCTCCACAGCGAGCGCGGCGTCGAGCCTACTCACTCCCGTTGGTTCGGCACACTCGGTGGGGTCCACTGAGTGTGCCGAACGCGCGAGCGGTGCGTCCTGGCAGCCCGCGCTGGCTGCGGAGCTGCAACAAACTCGAGTCACGCTTTTTGGGACATTTTCGACGCTTTTGTCCCATATACTCGCACTAGCTGCGGGGCTCGCTAAACGCTCGCCGAGCTCCATGCTGTGCAACACCACCTCCTCACTAATCGTCAGGGGCGCGGAGAGCGCAGTGCACTGCGGTGAGGCTGCGCAGCGGGGGCTCGCCCCCTGCACCGCGCTCAGCGGCACAGGGGAGGGCGGTTCGTGGCGGCGGCGGCCAAGCCCCGAGGCGGTGGCGGCGGTGGTGCGGGCGGCGGGATGACAAGGGAGGCGGCGGGATTGACAGGGGGAGGCCGCGGCCACCAGCGGGACCGCCCCAAGAAGGGGGGGGGGCGGCGGCGAGGCGCCCGTGAGCGAGGCGCCCGCGCCATCAGAGGGACGCGCCGCTGCGAGATGGAGGGCGGCGGTGACGGAGGCGAGGCGCGAGGCGGCGGCGGCGGCGGCGGCGGCGGCGGCGGCGGCGGCGGCGGCGAACGGCGGCACCGAGTCTCGGTGAGCGGCGGCGGGAGGAGGAGCAGCGGCGGCGCTCGCTCGCTGTTGACGGGAGCGCTTTTGAGCCTGGGAGCCCATGCCACTGCGACCGGCGTGCCCGGGAACGGAGATCGCGCGCGCGCGCGCCGCCACTCACGACGCGCGCGCGATCTTCGCGGAGTCGGGTCCCCAGAGGGAAGCGGTCTTCTCGGCCGACGTCCAGCGGCGCGCAAGGAAGCAGGCGCAGCGGAGGCGGCCTAGCACCGGCTCGGCGCCGGGCGGTTGCGCTGCCCGCGAGCCGCGTCCTGAGCCTCGGCAGCGCGCTGCGCGGCGCGGCGCTCGCGCTTCTGCTGTGCCGAGAGCGGCAGGATGGTTCGCCAGCTGAAGCTCCAGACTCCTCGGGTCCGCGAGTTCTGGGGGTCACCGGGATAAACGGCGGACGACGCGTGGCCCTTATATCTTTAGACAACAACCCTGGCGCGCAAAGTTTCCGTGCGGAGAGGGACGCGCGTATGTGTTCACGCTGCGGGCGCGGGCGGGCGCGGAGGGCGGCGCGGTCTCACCGCGGTCCGACGTCGGTTGTGTGGCGTTGTGCTCTACGTGTGGTCGCGCTTCCCTTCGGCGTGTCGCGGAGGGCGGGGCGCGAGATGCCTTGCCGCCATCGCGTCGCGCGCGAAGAAAAAAAAGGCCCGCATACATAAAATACTACCCCCTACAACCAGAGAGACCATGGTGGACGCATCTCGTTCGTGCGTCTGCGGCCTCTTCGACGTTCTCTTCGACGTTCTTTTCGCTCTCGCCAACTCGACCGCGTCACCATCTCCTCAGCAGTAGCGGGCCTGCGGCTGCGCCTCCGCGGCGCATCCCTCGCTCATCATATGAACCGAGCCCCCTCCTTGACCGCCGCCGCCTCCTCGGCCGCGCTGCTCGCCTCGGCCCTCGCCTCGGCCCTCTCCGCCTCCCGCACCGCCTCCTCGTCCCAGACGGGGGGCCCTCGCTCAAGCACCTGCGGCACGCGGGCGCGCGGACGCGTCAGCAGCGTGCCGCCTCGCCCGCCCCGCCCCCGCTCTCCTGACGCCGCGCCTCGATCCGGTCGCCGGCGCACACCACGGGCAGCTGCGGCTCGCCCCGCAGCCAGCGCGCCGCACGCTCGAGCAGCGGCAGAGGCCACTCGTGCACCTTCAACAGAACACGACAGCATGTGTGATCGTCGAATGCAACATGGCGCGGCGGAGGCCGCTCGTGCGCCAGGTTCTGCCCAAAGTAGACCTCCGACCCGACGCCGCGGCCCGCCGCCCTCAACGCCGAGAGCGGCTCCGGCGCCCCGTCCGCCCCGACCAGCGACCCCTGCTCGCCCGTCGCCTGGTCCGTCGTCGTGATCTTGCAGCGGGAGCAGCCCTTGACGACGCGGAAGACCATGTCGCCGATCCGGATCCGGCGCCACGTGTCCTCCTGCGGCACAGGGCGCGCCCGCCTCAGCCCGCGCGGCCTCCTCCTCCCCTCGCACCGCCGCCCGCTCGGCCCGCCTCAAACGGCACGCAGCCCGCGGCGACAATGTTCGGCCGGAAGCGTCCCATCGGCATCGGCTCGGCCATGGCGCTGAGCGAGCCGTTGAGCGCCTCGAGCGAGGCGGTGCTGATGAGCAGCAGCGGGAACCCGTCTGCGAAGCCCACCTGCGGCCCGCCCCACGCCCAGCGCAGCGCGAGTGGCGCGTAGCGCGCGTCGAGCGGGCGGGAGAAGGAGGAGGAGGCGCACGAGACGAGCCGCACCCGCCGGTGGGGCTCCTCGTCGGCGCCTGCCGGGCGGAGGGGAGGGCCGGGGAGGGATCGATCGGGGCACCCGCCCGCCGCAGAGGGAGGGCCGGGCCGGCCGCTGCGCCGGCACCGAGGAAGGAGGAGAGCCATGCGGCCGCCGCCTCGCCGAGGTCGACGGCTCGCAGGCCGGTGTCGGACCAGACGCGCACGCGCAGCTCGGACTGCGGGTGCGGCGGTCGCAGCGGCACGGCGAGCAGCGGCTTCCCCGGCGCCGAGAGGCGCACTACCTCTGCGCTGAGCTCGGCCCTCACCAGGCAGAGCCGCGGCTCCTGCCGCTGCGTGACAAAGGAGTGGTTGCCGCCGAGCGGCTCGGCACTCACGACCATCAGCCGCCGGTCGTCCACGAAGCCCAGCCGGTCGAGCGACGCCGCGTCCAGCTGCACCGGCGCGCACGACTTGACGGGGTGAATGTAGAGCGCCGCCACTTCAGCGCGAGACTCCGGCTCGTCCGCGGCCGGCTTGCGGCGGCGGAGCAGAAGGAGCAGCAGAGCGCCGCCGGCGACGGCAGCGACGACCGCCTCGTTGGCGGCGGGGACGGACTGCGAGAGGCCCATACACAGCTCTCGAAAAGGGGCAGAGAGGCGCGAACGGAGGCTGGATAAAGAAAGCTGCGCCCGAGCTCGCGCGCAGTGCCCTTGGGTTGTCCGTTTTCTTTCTTTATTTTTTCTCGCGCAGTGCCGTCCTCTCATCCCTCCCTTGGGTTGTCGGTTTTCTTCCTTTCTTTTTCGCGCAGCGCGCGCGATCGCGCAAGCGGCGCGCGCGAGCGAGCGAGCGAGCACACACACACACACACACACACACACACACACACACACACACACACACACACACACACACACACACACACACACACACACACACACACACACACACGCACGCACGCACGCACGCACGCACGCACGCACGCACGCACGCACGCACCTCCCCAGAAATCCCGAGAGCCGTGCAGTGCCTAGATAAGTCTGTGTGCTGTGTGGTGCACGCCCTCCGAGCGGGGCGGGGTCTGCCCGTCGGCTCTCTAGCCCGTAACCCGATACCGATCATCCGGCCCGCTGGGTGCGCTTCTCAGCTCCCCGGCCCTGGATTTGAGGTTAATGACTGCACTCCAAGTGCTCCAAGCCAACAAGAAAAAGGCGCAATAGCTCCCCGGTCCTGGATGTGAGGTTGATAACTGCACTCCAAGTGCTCCAAGTGCGATCCCACGACAGCGAGTGTGGGGACTACATGATCCGTACGTGAAGGGTGGAGGGGCCCGTCCGCAGAGCTAGGCAGCGCGGGCACCCCCCACTGGGGCCGAGGACAAGAAAGAAAGAGGCCGTTTGCCGCTTGCTTGTTCTTGATCCAGTTGGTGCGCACAGTGCGCGCCTGCTTGTTGATGTTTTCGGCGTCGCCCGCCACCGCCGCCATGGAGATCTGCTGCGTGACAAAACAATCTCTCCAAGTGTGTGTCGCAGGAGGTGAGGTATGAGGACTCTCACGAGGATCAGTAGCTCGACCTGTATCGAGAAGCTTCACCTATTATTCTCCCCTCCCCCCCCCCCCAGAGTGATGAATAGTCCACCTTATCCCTATATCCCTATATTCCCACACCCTATGCAGTGGCACGTCTTGCCACCTGGACCCCTAATATTAGCATCTTGGGCGCCGAATAGGCGCCCAAATATTGGCGCGTAATAGTTTCCCGACTGCTTTCGCTGGGCGGCGCGCGCTGCGAGACAGTCGACTCCTTCGTTGACGTTGTGCAAATGGCCACAACTCGGTGCATAATTGCGCCACTCTCCCCCAACCGGTACATAATTGTGCCTTCGTACTTTGAATACACTCTATGAACATGCAAGTCTCGGACGAGGAGGCTCGCTCTGCCGCGGGTCCTCCATCACCCGCAACTAACTCACAGGACCGCGTGCGGCTCACCATCACCACACTTGCTGAACACCGACCTTCGGGTTCAGATGACGATCCCTCTACATACAAACGAGGGAAGAGGGACGCCTCGCGATACTACGGAGGGCCTCGACCAGGATGCACGGTCAGACCACTCCAATCCCTACCACACCACGTTGGAGCAGAGCTGCGGCGTAAGCGAGCCCAAGGGCGACATCGATGTACTTGAGAAGTCATCGTCGCCTGACTCCGTTGGGGAGGGGGCTACGCCAGCTGGAACGCCTTCTGCCGGTTTGGCTTGATCGTGGCAGCGATCAAGCCATCTGCAGTGAACTCGCCGCATGGGTGCGAGCCTCGCAACAAGCATCTTTTGGCGCCCGAACGGGCATACAATCTCACGTCCCTGCTGAGGACGTCACAGGATTCACGACCGACGGCGTGGAGGCAATCAAACTGCAGCTGCAGCAGTTTGTGCAGTGTGCTGAGGAGAGCGCAGCCGCGCTCATACCCGCTGATGTTGAGGCCATCTCCGGGTACGCCCTTGAGCGACACATGGCCGCCACTGAGCGTCTCGAGTCCTACCTTGAGGAGCGACGTGCCTTCCAAACCTGTGTCCAGCAGAGTCGTTGCGACGCGAGGCAGCGGCGATCTACGGGCAGAAGCTATCGAGTGGTGACCTGTCCACGGATGGCACAGTACCGCACTTCCCGTTCCGTATTCCTTGCGGAGCAGGCGCGGCTGCTGCATATATGCTTGAAGGCGTGGCCCCTTCCAACCTTGCTCGGGAGAACGCTGCAGCACTCAAGCATCAACAATCGCAACTTACTTCGCTGAACAAGGATTTCGCGCAGGTGAGGCAGGCGGTTGAGAAGCAGAGCCGAGTGACGGCGGAGCTTGGCCGGCAGACGGTTCAATCCACAGGCGCAGCAGCAGTGCGACGCATTCTCCAAGCACAGCCTCTGGCGTTGCGAGTGCACAGAGAGCGAGCAATAGTCGACAAAAGCACAGATCTGTGGCAGCAGATCTCCATGCCGGTCGCGCCCTGCGAAAGGACAACCGCGGGCCGCAGATGCTTGCCCGGACGCGGACCCGCCGTGCGAGTTGCAGACCCGGAGGTGGCCGACCCAGCTCACCCCCAGAGAGGCCATGCCCAGGGTTAGCCATGAGAGGGGGCTTTTTCCATCCGTCCCTCCATCTTACGCCAGTTCTTGAGGAGCGACATGGAGAAGTCGCTGTCGGCTCGCGTGAAGGCGGTGTCGATGTTGCACCCCGCCCATCTCGGTCGGCAGCTGCGCCTGGAGCCACGCGAGGTCGCGGAGCGCCTGGGGCGAGGCGTCGGCGCGAGCAATGGCCAATGCCCTCAAAGGCTGAGGGAGGGTGTAGAGGATGTAGAGTGTAGAGCGCTGTAGAGCTGTAGAGATGTAGAGCGCTCCGGAGCGCTGTAGAGCTGTAGAGCTCTACATCCGCCGCGTGACGAACTGCCTGCGTTGTAGAGCGATGTAGAGCGCGATTTTGCTGTAGAGTTTGTTGTAGAGGCTCTATAGCCAAAGGGAAGGCAGGGACTCAAAGAGGTCTACACCCTCCCTCAGCTCAAAGGGACTTGCGGATGCGGTTGTGCGCAAACTCGAGAGCTCGCACGCGACATTGGGCGGCGTGATGCCGGCAATGTACTTGGTCTTTGCACAGGCATTCCGTTGGACGAGGTTGAGGCGGAGCTGCGAGGTGTTCGTGACGCAGTCAGTGTCGACGATCGTGTCGATCACGTCGAGTTTGTTTTTTATCGACAGGTGTTACTCGTGAAGGGGAAAAAGAAAGAAAGAAAACAGACAACCCAAGGGAGGGATGGGAGGACGGCACGCCGCCACCACACAGGGATTTTAAGGAGAGGAGTGTGGTGCTAGCCGTCGCCCACCCTAGGGAGTCTGCCTCTTCCTATCTCTCTTCGCAGTCTCTCGCCGATTCTCGCTGCAACCTTCATGCCACCTCGCGGTCGTCCCACCCTCGTCGTTCTCTCCCTTGTCACTTCCTCCTCTGACGCGTTGTTCTCTTCTGCCTCGTCCTGCGACGCCGCCACCTGCCGGTCCCTTGTTCTCGCGGCTTCTTTCGCCTGTCGGCGCAACTCCGTCCTCCTCGCGGCGTATCCTGGCCCCTCGAGTCTATCGAGCTCCCCTCGCGCAAGGACCACATTTCTGACTCCCACTCCGATCATTTGCCTACAGGTCATGTTGTTGCTCAGGTCCACTCTCTCGAGGGGGGGGGGGGGGAGCCGAACCAGTGTCGGTTTTCTTTTTAGGTGGAATCCTCCAGGAAATGCGTCTCTGCAAACTTCGGAGGACGCAGAGACTCAGGAGGGCCACGTGGGAGGTCAAAGCAGATTGATTGAAGAGCATCTTCTGGGGCGCCCTCTGACGATCCTCCTACGCGTCACAATACATTTGGCCAAGCGCGATCCCTTTTGCCTCTCCGCCAGGCCCCGCCCGCCCGCAAAGAGATTCAATGCCTGAGGCGAGCCCGCCCTCCGAGAGCCGCGTGCCGCCCGCCGGCCAGCGCTGGCCCGCCGCCGACGCCTCCGCCTCGGAGGACGGGTGCACGAGCGCCGCCTCCGACTCCGATGCCAACTCCCCACCTTCCAAGTCAGCCATCCCGCCGGCGCAAGTGACCGTGCAGCCGCTTAAGCCCTCGCCGCGACGTGTCCGGGCGAACCCTCCCGCTCCGCCCGCGCCCTCGATGGCGGAGGCTGCATCAATCGCGGCGGCGGTGCAACAAGCGGCGGCAGCGCAGAGTGCAGCTGTGGCCGTCGCGCCGCGACCGCCGAAGGCTGTGGCGCCGGCGGCAGCGTCGGCGCCCGCCACGGTCCTCTCCTCCGCCGCCCCTGCCGACGCCGACGACGCCGAGCTCGCCGCGCTCTGGCGGTATGCCAGCTCTCCCACATCGCAAGCGCAGGCGCCTGCGAGCGCGGCAAAGGGCCTAGCGAGGTGAGCATCCCCCCGAGGAGGTCCCGGGACGCGGGCGGGTGTGGATCGCGTGCAGCGCGCCGCCGTGTCCGCCGCCACCGCAGCGCCAGCGGTCGCACCTCACGCGCCTCGCCCCGCTCCCCCTAACGGCGATTTGCCCTGACCCCCCCTCCTCCCTTCTTCTCTCTCCCCCACCCAGGTCTGCCTCGACTGCGCCTGAAACGAAGAAAAGCGGGACGAGTCCCCCGCCCCCGCCCGCGGTGACGTCGCCGGCCGGCGCGGCAACCTTCCCCACAGCCACGCCCGCCGCCCTCGCCTCGGCGAGGGGAGAGGAGAGGGGAGGGGCAGCTGCTGCGCCCTCACCCACCGACCCGCTGCCGCTCTCGTCGGCGCTGCTGGAGAGCGTGGCCCTCGGTGCGAATCCCGCCGGCCGCTGCTCCCCGAGTCTACCCGCGAGACTCCCCCCGCCACCTCACAACCCCCCCCCCCCCCTCATTCCCCACCCGGCGTGATCCCCGCTCCCCTCCCACCCTCCCTGTTCGTCCCCTCCCCCCCGGCCCCTCCCTCCCTCCCAGGCGCTTGGCTCGACCACCTCGGGCACGTGGTCGACGGCACCTCCACCACCACCTCCTCCTCCACCGCTCACGCCGCCATCGAGTCACGTCTCCGCCCTCTCGCCCCGACCGAATCTGCAAAGGGCCGCCCGCCCCCGTTCCGCCCCCCGTTCCCGGCTTGGGGGGGGGGCCCTTTGAAGGGGGGGGGTTGGCCCTGGGGGGTCCAATTGGGCTCCACCTGGCCCCCCCCCCCCCCCCCCCCCCTCCTTCTATTGCACGGGCGGGCCCCGACATGCCGCGTGCGCGCTGTTTGCGGCCACCATGTCTCAGCGGGAGGAGAGGGCTGGAGCCTTCGCTAGTCCCCCTGCTGGCGCCTCCCCATAACCCCCCCTGCCCGCGCACCGCAGCGCAGTGTGTGCTTTGGCGTTGTTGTTTGCGCTCTCTTGTCTCTACTCTCTTGTCGATTGAATATATCCGATCATTGTGGGAGGCGCGGACGGGGGCGTTGTTGGAGTAATATCCTCTAGTCTTTTTTAGAGATTGAGGGCGTAAGATCGGGATTAGGGTGCCCACAGGGCCCAAAAAAAGAAAGAAAAAAGAAATTGGCGAACCCCGATCGCAGAGTCGAGCAATTGTGAGTGTGACTAGGACTGTCTACCCTTGGAATGGCCGGATCCAATCCCCGGACCCCGCGGTTGGGAGACGGGAGGCCGCCGTGACGGCACCTCTCCTTAACCTCCTCTACTCCCGCGCGATCTAAGCTAAAGCCGGCGGCAGATGGGAGACGACGGGGCAGGCCTAGGGGCAGGCCTCTACCTCCGCCCCGTGGCCACGCCGCTCTCTGCCTCGCCTCGCCCCGGTCGGCACAGCATGCTCCCACAGACAGCTCAGAAGGCGGCGTACTCAACCTTGCGGAAGTCGCCCAGCTGGATCATCGAGTACTTGCGCATCTGCTTCATCAGCCCCTGGAAGGCGAGCTCCGCACCCGGCCCTGGCGTGTAGCACAGCCCGCCTACGCGCGAGGGCAAGGGACACGTCTCGAGAGGTCAGCGCGCACCCTCCCTCCTGGCGAGTGGCACGGCATGCCGTCGCGCTTCTCCTCGCCCTTCGGACACCTGCGAAGGCGCGCGCGCGCGCGCTGGCGTGAGCTCCTCCTCAGCCCTAGGCTGCCCGGCGGGGAGCGGCGGTGGTGTGCGGTGGTTGGCGGTGAGGTGTCTGCTCTCTCTCTCTCTCTCTCTCTCTCTCTCTCTGTGTGTGTGTGTGTGTGTGTGTGTGTGTGTGTGTGTGTGTGCGCGCGCGCGCGCGCGCGCGCGCAACGTGCTTGACACGGCGTGCAGTCGCGGTGTGGTCTGTGCGTCGCAGCAGAGGGAGCAGACGGCGCGCGCCTGTATCCGAACTGCGGCAGCGTCTCGTAGGCAGCCCTGATGCGCGATGCGAGCTCCTTCACCTTGACGCCGTCGGTGATTTTGCCCTGCCCGATGATGTACAGCGCGAACGAATCCGCCGCCTTCTCAAACTCCTCCGCCGACTGCGCCTTCTCGATCGCCTTGACGTATGGCTGCAACAGCGCCGTCTCCTTCTTGATCAGATCCTCGCGCGCCTTGCGCTTCTTCTCGGCCTCGGCAAAGTCAGCCGTGGCCTACGACGGTCGTGATAGCTCAGGCGCCTCGCCCAGGCGCGTCCTGCGCCGCGAGAGAGTGGCGGCGCACCACAGGTATCTCGTCGTAGGCGACGGCAGCCGAGGTCGCTAGTTTGCTCGCGAGAATGGAGCTCGCGCCGGCGAGCACCGCCCGACGGCCGGCGCCCGGGACCGACGGCGTCAGTGCGGGAGCGGAGAGAAGCAGGGTAGCGGCCAGCATATGTGCACTGTTGCTCGCGCAGAGAGGTCGGGGAAGGTCCGATGCGAAGAAAGAATTTTCAGAACGGCCGGGGGGGAGGGGAAACGGACGAAACTGCCTGGGTTGTCCGTTTTCTTTCTTTCTTTTACACTGCGCATGTGCGAAGAAACGCGATAAGAATGAAGACTTACTAGATCTAGGCAGTGCGTCGCCCATCTCTCCCTGGAGAGAGAGAGAGAGATTTTTAGCAATACCAAACAAATCTAACACTCACACGTCATTTGGGGCCTGGAGCCCTGTTCACGCGCGCGCGAGACGTGCAGACAGGGTTGCCAGGTGAGAGCGAATGGCGCGGTTCACGCCTCGCACAACAGAGAGAGAGATGCGCTCTGCATGGTGGGACATAAAAGAGAGCGAGTACTTGGGCGAGTAGGCCGTGCGGTCGTTGACTGCTCTATTTATTTATATAGATCTAGGCACGGGACTGGCGCGCACTGGCACTAACACAGGTACACTGTGCGAAAAAGAATTTTATCCCCTACTCACTCGCACAGCGTCCTCAGAAAGAAAGAAAGAAGGAAAACACCCACACCCTGTCCTCCTCCCATCCCTCGTTTGGTTTGTCTGTTTTCTTTCTTTCTTTACAGTGGGAGCGCTTGGTTGGAGAGAGTGCGTTGTTTTGTATCCGCTTTCTCTGTTTACACTGCCTCACTGGGCACGGCGGGACAAAGAATTCCCGAGGGAGACAGGAAAGGGGAAGGACTACCTCGCGGTGCTGGCATCTCTGTGCTGCGCCTTACTGACGCCAACATCTCTGACATCAACATGTCCGGCAAGACGGATGCAGCCGCAGAGCAGATTCTCAGCGATCTGGTGGCTCCCACCTCTTCATTGCCACCTCCTCCTTCGCTCCCACCCTCGCCAAGCGGGGCAATCGTCGACGACGATGGCATGCAGCCCGCGCTTGATGCTGCTGCCTGGGAGGCAACCCAGTGGTCCGCTACGACCGCTACTAGGAGGGGGTGGTCTACCTGGGTTGTGCCAGCGCCACGAAGGCGGTCACCTTCGTCAACTCGATCCGTCTTCCGCCCGACGCTCCGCCTCGCGTCCTCGTCCAGGGAGACACCCTCGGCTTTGGCGGGAACACCCTCTCGGCTCCCGGGGACGGGACTATCTCCTACTCGGTCGACCTCTCCTCGTTGCCACCGCTCGTGCCCCGGCCCGAGATGCCCTCGTTCGCAGCTGCGCCCGCCGCCGCCGCGCCCGCCGCGCCAGGCGGCGAGCCCTCCTCGGCGGCGGCACAAGGGCCGGAGGTGGGGGAGAAACGCGAGCGCGGAGAGAGAGGCAGGGGTGGCCGAATGAAGAAGGCGAAGGAGGAAGAGGCGAGAGGCGCCGCAGCGGCGGCGCCTGCACCTCTCAACGGTGCGCTTCAGGCTCAGAGGGCGCAGGCACAAGATCACGTGCGCCAGCTGCAGGGGCTGGGCGGGCGCGATCGCGTTTGGGCGCAGCGGCTCATCGAGTGCACGGCGCAGAGCTACGGGCTCGTGCAAGAGGCCGTGGCGAGCGGCGGCAGGGCGACATAGTGGCGGAGTACAGTGGGGGGCTCTACGATCAGAAGGGAACTGCAGTAGCGACGCGGCCACTGACAAGGAGGAGTGCTCGCGGCCTGCGCGACGGTCGATCGCACGGACCTGCGGCTGGCGCTGAGGTCCGGCTGGAGCTCCGGGTCACGGAGGGACCCCTCCTCGGTAACCGGGCAGCAGCGACGGGTCCTGGCAGCACTGGATCGCATGGCGCAGGTACGCGACGAGGGGGCCTACGGGGAGGCTGTGCGGACAGCGCGGCGAACGATCGACGGGCTAGGACGGGGGCGGGATCTCCCGTCTGACGAGGCCTGGCTCACGACGCTCTCGGTGATAGGAGGGATGGTCCCGGAACCCAGCGTGCGGGCCATCCGACGGGAGGCAGAACGGGTGGCTGAACTCAAGGGCAATGTAGACCCGGCGGAGACCAGATCGACACTGTGACCCGCGAAATCATTACAGCCTGCGCCGACGCCGCCATGGCAAAAATGGGAGACTGTCAGCCAGTGGCGCACCGCAAACGGACAATCGACGTGGACCGGGGGAGTTGCGGGCGACGACGAGCGCGAGGAGCAACGAAGGCGCTCTCAATACTCAAAAAGAATTTCACAAAATCCCTCGCACAACAGTGTTGTGCGAAAAAGAAGCTAGGCCGGTCAGAGCCCTTGGAAGGCGTTCGAGCCCTTTTTTGGCTCACTTGGATCTAAGTACTAAGAAAGAAAGAAACCCGTAACGGAAGGGAGGGATGGGAGGACGGCACGCGTAGGGCACGCGCGCCCGGCGCCGCCGCCTGCCCTGGCCTCCCGCCACCCCACACAGGGAAGAGTGAGGGAGTGTGGTGCTAGGACTTGGGGCCTGCGCAAATTGAGAAAAGATTTGCCAAGGGTTACCCGCAATCGCCAACGAACCGCCCCACCAGCCCCCGCCCAAACTGTCCACCCCGGCCACGGGGTCTGCAGATCCGCGTGCGTCGTGCCGCCACCCCACTAACCCCGACACAGCGCCTGCACACGCACACGCACGCACGCACGCGCGCGCGCACACACACACACACACACACACACACACACACACACACACACACACACACACACACACACACACACATGCACACACACACACACACATGCACACAATGCACAGACACACAGCCCCTTCCCCTTCCCGGGTTGGTGTCGGCGGCCACGGATGGGGTAACGGCGGTAACGGCGAGGGAGGGGGTGGGGGAGGTAACGGCGGCGGCGGGGGGAGCGAAGGGTGAGGTGGCAGAAGAGGTGGAGGCAGGCGAGGCGGCGGCGGGGGTTGGCACGGGGGCGGCAAAGATGGAGAGGGGGGAGGGGGGGGGAATGAGGGAGAAGGAGAGAAAGAAAGAGGAGGAGAAAGAAAGAGGGCTAGGATGGGGGGGGGAGAGAGAGGGGGCAGGGGGGGGTTTGGAATGTCCGACTCCCGGGTGGAGACACTGCCCTTTGCAGGAGTCACGTGTCCCCAACGACCGGCAGTCGGTAATGAGGTTTGGTTGGTTGAGGAAGACGGCCTCCGGTTCCTGAAGCAGGGCAGAAATAAATAAAGGTTAGGGACGTCTCGGGCAGTTATCGCCGCGTTGAATCCCCCCGTCTGCCGGAACGATCTCCCACCGGTTATAATAACCGGCGGCAATCGATAGTCAAAGTTGAGCTCCGGAAAGCGATAGAGCGCCCGCCCATGTCCTCCGCTTGTTGTGCAGCACCCGCGGCGCGCGCGCGCCGCGGTGTTGACCAACGACCGTGCCACTGGAGGCTCCCACGCCACTCGCGGCAATCCGCATCGAGGCCGCCCGTCGGCGCAGCAAAGGCACTGCGCACTTCTGGGCAGCGCCCAGAATGCAGGGGAGGCCTTGGCGCTTCTCGCCAGCCAGGCTGACTCGGCAACCGGCACGCGAGCCGACTGCGCGTCCCGAGCCCACGGATCGGCGCCGTCGCACAGGCCCGCCAGCCGCCGCACAGCTCCAGAGAGGCCACTGGCGTTGCGCTGCACTGCTTGAAGCTGATGTTGAGGCGCTGCACTGCTCAAAGCTGCCCCGCGCGCCGCCGCGAGCGCCGCGCCGTGGCCTCGTTCTCTGGCGAGCCCCAGCACGACCCCTCGCGGCCACTCGCGCCGTTGCAGCAGCTCCGACCCCGCCACTCCGGCTCCCGAGCGCGCGACGAGCACGAGGAAGAGCATGCGCATGGGCCAAAATCAGTTACTGCGAGGCGCGACTCGCCGCCGCTTTTGGCCTTTTTTGGCGACTTTTGGGACGCGCGATCGACCGGCCGAGAACGATATGGCGGGCGAGGCCGTCACGGCCATGATCGTGGCTGACGACGGCGGCGACGACCCCCTGGCGGACCGCCGCGAGGACCGGGAGGCGGCGGCGGAGCGGGAGAGGAAGGCGAAGGTGGCGAAGCTCAAGGCGCAGACGGCGAACGCGATGGAGGTGGTGCGGACGCAGCAGGCCGCGAAGGAGCGGGGAGCCTTGGACGAGGCGGCTCTCACTGCGAACGAGGTCGCGGGAGCGCCGGTGAAGGGCACCTCCGCCATGGTCAAGAGCATCTTCGATTCCCGACGCGATGGCAAAGATTGGAAGATGGTGCAGCGGCGCGAGCAGCGGAAGACCCAGACCGGCGCGGGCACTGCCGCGCAGGTTCTGGCGGGTCTGGAGACGGTGGCGGCGTCGGCAATGGAGATGTACAAGAAGGACGGCGCCGACGCACTCACGGTGACGGATGCGCACGCGGTGCTGGTGAATGACGTGGCGCTGAAGCAGGGCATGCTGGCCATCTCGTCGAAGGCGAGGTCGAACTACCCGCAGTTCGTGTCGTGGCTGGCCACATTTGCCACGTTTGTGCAGTGCTTCTTCCCCTGCGGCTGGCGGCACAATTTGCCTATAGATGGGAGCGGAGGGAAGGCGATTGCCATCCAGCCGAAGCTGGTGGTGCTTTACCTGGCGATGGTTGCCAACGGCTTGGTGCCGATGGGCGGGTTGGATCCCTAGCTTGTTTTTCGGAGTTTCTTTGTAATAACCACCCAAGACTGCATCCAGACGCCTCTAGAAGGAAATGGAGTCACGCACTTTTGGCACGCAGGGCTGCGCGGCCGCCAGTCGCCACGCGAACGCTCCAGACGACGTCCCTGCATCGAGTACGCGGCGAGAGCGCGAGCGTGAGCGGTTGCGCAACAGCGCAAGGTCTCGGCTTGTAGACAGCAAGGGATCCCTACATCGCTCTACAACGCAGGCGCAGCATCGTCACGCGGCGGATGTAGAGCTCTACAGCTCTACAGCGCTCCAGAGCGCTCTACATCTCTACAGCTCTAACAGCGCTCTACACTCTACATCCTCTACACCCTCCCTCAAAACATTCAGGGCTGAAAAGAGAATTTTACAAACAAACTCCCTCGCACGACACTGGGCACGGGACTGGCGCGCACTGGCACTAACAATGAAAAGAGAAAGTAAAAAATGCCAGAAAAAAATCGCTTTCCGGTTCGCTTGTGTTATTCGTCTCATTCATGCCCAGGACTTGGCTCTTGGGCCTTGTGAATGAAGAGAGTCGTCGCCTGCATGAAGACGACTCTTGCGTGAAGAGACTATTCTCGCCGCCTCGCCCACGTACCTCGTACGTGGAGGGCCGCTCGCGCACGCGTGCGCGTGCGAGCGAGCGAGCGAGCGAGCGAGCGAGCGAGCGAGCGAGCGCACACGCGCTTGGAGCAGACTCTATACACATCACCCCGTGCGCGCGCGCCGTGGTGGAAACGGTGGGACGAGCGGGGCACAGAGCCATGGGTTGTGGTACCTTCGGTTCTTAACGGCGCTTTTCTTGGCGCCTGTGGTTTTCTTTTTATCTAAATCGCGCCAATGTTCTGCGGCGACTGGGTGCACACGGACATCGTTGGTAAGACCTGCGAGCACTCCGGTGAGGAATCGCTCTCTGAGTGCGAGGACGAGGGCGGCTGGACGGCAGTGGAGGTCCAGCGCTGCTCGCGAGCGGTCAGCGGCGGAGATTTGCTGCGCAGCGTGCGGCTCGGACCCTTCTTCTCCGTGCCAGGCCAGTGGAGAAGCCTCATGACGCACTCCCTGCGTGGTCTGCTGAACGACGGCGACCGGGTAGTCAGCTTCGTCGGCGCACCCGTGACTGAAGCCGGCACGCGGATCGGCTTCCCGCCTCTGCACGTCCACCACGTTCACGTGCGCAAGCCCGAGCGAAGCGGCGCGATGCAGCCTCCGGTGGGCCGCGAGCGCGCCAGCCACTGGTTCGAGACGCACGGTGACTACTCGCGCGGCGACGACTTTGGCGTCGGGGCGAGGAGCGCGGCAGGCTACGCCACGCGGCTGCCAGAGGGGCACTGTTATGTCGTCACGTCGGCGGAGCAGATCGACTTGAACGCGGAGGTGAACGACGTCCGCGTCGACGCTAGCGGCGCGAGCGAGCTCTCCTACTACCTCGAGGCCGCCTTCACGCTCGCGCCCGACGCGGACTGCAAGCCGGTGAGCAAGTTCTGGCTACGCAGGCCGCGGTCGCGCGAGCTGCCCACCGACGTGTGGGAGCGGTACGCGGCGCCGAGCACGGATTCGGTCACGTGGTGGTCCGGGAAGATGCCTTCGTCGGGCAGGCTGCTGCACGCCTGGCTGCACACGCACCGCAGTCGCTTCGGAGGAGCGAATCACTGTGCTTGCCCGGCGCCGACCAGCGCTTGCGAGGTGGCTCAGCCTCGCTCCCCTCCTCTCGGCTTGCAGGGCTGCTGCTCCTGGCCGCGGGGCCGGAGGTGGTCAACTGTGCCGCGCTCGGCATCACGCCTGCTGACGGCGTCGACGTGGCGCCGGTGCGCAACGCGAGCTTCGCGCGCGCAGCGCTGGCGGCGGCGGCGCGCGTGGTCTGCGAGGACGACGCGTCGCAACCAAACTCGGTGCGAGCCGCGTGCGTCGCGCCGGCACCTTGCCCGCTGACGCTCTGCTGGCGAGCCGCAGGTGTCGCTGCGCGGCCACGGGAGCGAGGGAGTTGCGGACGGAGACTACGACCGGCGCGGCGGCTTGTCCTGCCGCGACTGGTCTTTCGGTGTGGGGGATGCGTGGACGGTGGTGGCCTTCTCCGCCGCCCGCTTCCTCCCTCACCTCCGCGTCACGCCGCAGCACACGGAGCTGTGGATGTTCGTCGACTTGCCGGGCGTGCCCAACTCGACCGCAACTTCCTCCCCAGACGCTCCCGACTCGCCATTCTTCACCGACGAGGCCAACGTGTGCTGGGCCGAGACGCGGCTCGCGGCGCCCTTTAGTCGCCGACCCGCCGCCTCGCTGGCGCTGGCCGCGCTGCTCGTCCTCGTCGCGCTCGCCTCCTCCCCGCGCCACTCCTTCTTGCCGTGGGCGTGGCGAACCCGTGGCCAGTATTTGAGGCTCCCGTGCGACTCGGGCGTCAGCTAGCACGACCACATCCCTACTGAATCGGGCACAGCTCAAGAACACGTGATCCTGAGAGTGAGCGTTCGCGCGTCTGTCACAGACTGTACACTGAGCCGTATACGGTCTCTCGCTGCGTGTACACGATCTACACTACGCTCAGGCGCGGACCCGCGGTCGCTCCCGCGCTCTAAATCGTGACAAACCTTCAATGTTCTCAAGACATCGTCAAGAGAAACCACAAACAGGATTTTCAGGAAAAGAAGCCGTGCTCGGGGTCCCTCCTGCGCATTGCGTTTCGCATAAACTGTAGCGACTACACGTAGGTAGTCCGACTCTTAGCGTCTCTCCACACACTCGACCCACACTTCCCGGCGCTCTCCCCGGGACACGCGATGGGACAGACGGAAAGAATCACGTACTGCCTCTCGGCTCTCGCGTGACCTCCTTCGCCTCTCCAAGCAGCGGCCGCTGCGACGTGCGGCGCCTGTGAGACTCTCGCGGTGCTTGCCTGCACTCCTCCTCACGGCGCAGCAACCTCCGACTTCGTCTCCCTCCCCTCCGCCTCCCACCCCTCCTTGCCGGCCGCCGCCGCCGCCTCCTCCTTCGCAGAGCGCACCAGCCTCTGCGCCGCGTGCCCGCGCACCTTGGGCGACATCGCGAGCGCCGTGTGTGCAGCCAACAGACGCGCCTAGTGGAGGGCGCCGTGGACGTGTCGTGGACGCGCCCCGCGACGTGCTCGCTCCTTGCCGCCAGAGCGGGTTGACGCCGGTTTCGGCGAGTTCTCCTTGTCTCGCTCGTCCAGCACGCACACGGCTGCGCGCAGGAGCGGCGTCGACGGCGCCGCCGCCGTCGTCGCCACCGCTACCGCCACCGCCGCCGCCACCGCCGCCGGCACCGGCGCAGGCACAAGCGGCGGCGCGAGCGGCGGCGCGAGCGGAGGCGGCACCACGGGCGGCATGGCGCCCGTCCTCTCTCCGCCGGTGGGGACACACGAAGTGGACACACCAGAAGTGGACACACCGGAAGTGGACGCCGAGGCAACGGAGGCGGCGGGGGCGGGGGCGGGGGCGGGGGCGGCGGCGGCGGCGGCGGCGGGGAGAAGAAGCGGAGGCGGAGCGGCCGGGCCGGGGCCCTGGCTCAGGGCGGAGGGCCGGGCGGCGATCCGGGCGAGAGGAGTTGGGAGAGGAGGCGGCGGGAGAGGAGCGAGAGGAGGCGGCGGGCGAGGAGTGGGGAGCGCCGCCGCTGCAAGCCGCAGCGCCGCCTCGAGAGCGCCGCGCGACGCGGCAGAGAGAGACGAGAGGGGCGAGAGGGTCGGCCGGGCGGCCGCCGCGCCGAGCGAGTCGAGGCTGCGCGCGGGCGGGGCGGGGCGGGTGTCAGCGGCGGGAGAACTGCGACGCCATAGCCGCGGGAGTCAGCTTGCCGAGATGAGTTTCACATCGGGGCGCGGCTTGCGGAGCAGCGGGCGAGCGGAGGGCGAGGGCGAGGGGCGGCGGGAGGGGGGTGCAGAGCGAGCGGTGTCTCCGAGGTCGTCTTCAGGAGGGTCTCGGGAGGGTAGCTCGCAAGCGACGGTCTCACCGAGGAGCGCCCAGTGGCGCGCCCACGCCGACCTCGCCGCCCGCCGCCTCGCGCGCCACCGACGCTAGCGGAGCCGCCAAGTCGGCCGAGGGAGCGGCGGCGCTGGCGAGGCCCGGCATGCCGCCGGCGAGCGGCTGCGTGGTCTCGAGCGTTCGCGAGGGCTGCGCAGCGAAGAGAGGCGGCGCGGGCGGTTGCAGCGAGGCATGCGTGGCCCTCGCCATCGCCCCAAGGAGCGCGTCCGCCGCGGCAAGATCGTCGCGAGCGTGGACGGCTCTCTTCTTCCGCCCGCCGCCCTGCGCAAGGAGAGGGGGGGGGGGGGGGGAGCGGCGGTGAGGGCGGCGGCGGTGAGGGCGGCGGCGGTGAGGGCGGCGGAGGTCAGAGATGCGGCAGGGACAAAACGGCGGCCGTGGGCAGTGGACGCGTGGGTCGCGCCTTGACGGCAGGGTTCCAGTCCGGCGGCAAGGCCGCGACCGCCGCCATCTGCTGCAGCAGCGCCGGGGGGGGCTCCCCGCCGCTCGCCACGACGACGGGGGCGAGCGCGGCCGCGGGGCGCGTGTCACTCTCTTGCACCAGCCGGCGGCGGCGGGCGGGGGCGAGTGCGTCGACGCTTCCCGGCGGCGCCTCCATGGCCTGATCGTGCAGCCGCTCCACGCGCCGCTTCTCCTTGCGCTGCATCGCGTTCCACCGGTTCTTGATGGCGCTGTCTGTCCGGCCGGGGAAGGCCTTGACCAGCTCGGACCAGCGCGTGCCGTACAGAGCGACGGCCTCGATGATGGCACGATCCTCCTCCGCCGTCCACTTCTGCTTGCTCACGTCGGGGGAGAGGTGGTTGAGCCAGCGCTCCCGGCACTGCTTTGCACTGCGCCCCTCCATCGCGACACCAACCTGACACCACCGAGCCTCGCTGCCGCCCCCGCTCGCCTCGATGAGGGCGATGAGCGCTGCGTCCTCCTCCTTTGTCCAGACCTGCTTTGTCCACGACAACGCCATGGCGAGACGCCCGTACGCGTTTACTTCGTCCAGCGCCCCGGGCGCCAAACAACCACCCACGAGTCCGGCGTTTTTCTTTTATAGGGGTCTTTGAGACACGGTTGGCACCGCGGCGGCTACTCTCCGCCACACCTTTGTGGCACCCACCCCCTGTGCGTGGCGCTTGTCTTGTTTGTCGCCCAGGGGAAGTTGGTTGGGGAGGCTGAGGGCCCCATTTGGGGTGGTGAAAACTCAAATCGGTCCTCATTTGAGAGAGAGAGAGAGAGTTTTGTTGTTCTCATTTGTGGTGGTGGAGGCAGACCGGTCTCCTCGGCCAAGAGTAACGTGCGCGAGAATTAATCGTGGGAGAGATTTTGTTGCTTGCAGGCCTCTCAGACTCAGTTCACGACACACGAGGTGAACCGTGAACCCGGTTCATGAACTAGTACCCCCGGTTCGTTCACGGTTCGCGGTTCACGGACTCGGGGCGGGTGCTAGTCGGTTCACGGTTCACGGTTCGGCCCGGACGCTGCCCCGCCCGATTCGTTCACGGTTCGCGGTTCGCCCTTTTTGTCCTGCCTCGGCGCCTCCCGGTCCTCGCGGCGGTCCGCCAGTGGTTGTCGCCGGCGTCGTCAGCCACGATCATGGCCGTGACGGCCTCGCCCGCCATATGTCGCTTCTCGGCCTGTCGATCGCGCGTCCCAAAAGTCGCCAAAAAAGTGGCGGCGAGGCAATCACCCGCCCGTCGTCCCTAGCGTCGTCCCGGCGCGGTCCCGCAGCTCGCGCACATCTCCCTCTTAACCCACCTCTAACATCACAATAGTGAATTCCTACAGTTGCCGCCTACGCTCCTCCGACGCCGATAACTTAGGGATTTTTTTACTTTCGAACTCATATCGCGCAATTTCACAGGAGAACGTGAACGACAAGTACGACTTCGATCCTCAAGACGACCTCATCGACCAGCTTCACCTGGACAAGGGACGGATTTACCGCGACCTTGAGAAGCCACGGTTTGGCTTCCTCCCGGCGATGGCGAGCTGCTCGACCGGCCAGATCGGCGCCCTCATGGCCGAGTCTTTCTGCGCCAAGCAGGTGGTGCACCGCGTCACCGCCTCAGTCTCAACGCGGAGGAGTACTCGATGGTGGTGATACTCCGCATGAACCGCGCCTTCATTGTAGTACATGCGCAAGCACGAGAAGGACTATGAGCCCGGCAAGTAGGCCTCCAATCGAGTTTGATTCGCAGTCGTTCGCGGTTCGAAGTAGTTGATAACCGCGCGAACTTGGTGGGGGCGGTTCACGAACCAGTTCTCGCGAACCCAGTTCGCGAACCGGCGGTTCAACGCCGGTTCGCCAGACTCGATTCGTGACGGTTCGCGGCGGGTGTCGCGGCGGTTCACGTATCACGGTTCACGGACTCGGGGCGGGGGCTAATTGGTTCACGGTTCACGGTTCACGATTCCGGCGTGAACTGAGAGGCCTGGTTGCTTGGGAGAGATGTTGTTGCTATATAAAATATTCGGATCGCTCCTCATCGCAAACCCCGTCAGCAGTCCTGCGGAATAAAAGAAAGAAGGAAAAGTGGCGGCAACTTAATTCTGCTCACCGTTTTGTTTTGTGAAAGCGGCGCCCGGCCTCCGCCCCTGCAAGCGAAGCTCTCGGCACAATGCTGTCCCTGCTGCTCACTGCCAACGCGGAGCGGCTCGTGCTCAAATCCGACTACCGCCTGCGCGACGCCGCCGCCGCCGCCGCCTTTGCCGCCGCCGCCGCGCCATTTGGCCTCGGCCTTCCTGCCGCGCCACCGCTCGGAGCCCTCTCCGCCTTTCTGGGCTCCCGGGCGGAGGCCGTCTCCTTTGCCTTTGATTCTGAGGCGCTCGAGATCCTCGACGCAAACGGGCCACGCGAGAACTTTGCCGTTGGCGGCCGCAACCGCTGGCGCTACTCCGATATCGCCGAGTTTGCCTTCTACCCATCCTCCGAGCTGCCGCTTCTGGTGTACTTTGCAGAGCGGAGCGGCAGCGGCAGCGGCGCGTCAGACTCGCAGGGCCACCTGTTCCCAGTCCTCTGCGACCCCGAGAGCCTCGTGCGGCTCTTCGAGGAGAGGGTCGGAGCGTCAAAGCGCACAGCCTCTCCGCCTCGGCGGCTGCGGAGCGGCCGGCGGCGGGCGGGCGCCGCGCGCATGTCGCTGGCGCACCGAGGCGACGAGGCGGCTGCCCCACCGAGGATGGTGGCTCCTGCGGTGTCCCGCAGAGGCGCGGCGGGCATTTTTGCTGCCGCGGCGGCGCATGCGGGCGCGGGCGCCGACACCGGCCTTGGGTACGTGGATGACGCGGGACAGGTCTCGTACAGCCAGGTGCAGCGGGCGTGGGAGAAGGCGGCAACGATGACCGACCGGGAAAAGTTGCTGGCCGCCCGCGGCGTCGCCCTGTCGCCGCCCCAGGGAGGAGGCGCGGGCGGAGAGAGTGAGCGCAGCCGGAAGAGGCGGGCTATGGCTGGCTGCCACGACAACCTCTTTCGCCGAAAGGCCGGCTACGAGTCGGAGGCGGAGTGCAACGGGCGAGTGTTGAGCGGTGACTTGCGTTTCATGCTCGATGCCATGGTGACCGAGTGAAGCATCCCCGGAAGCATCCCGCCGCCCGGATAAAATACCCCAGGCATCCCCCGAAGCATCATCCCGCCGCCCGGATGGAATACTCAAGCGCCGCCCGGCCCTGTGGTGATCACCCAAATCGAGAAGGACAAGGGGCCGCCCCGCCCCGGCTCCGGCCCGCCTTATCTCACTGTCGAGTCGCCCGGCCGCGGCGGGCGGGCTTGGCGCGTGCACCGGTCGCAGGCGCTCAGCTTCACGAACACCGTCGAGCCGCGCTGGAACCGCCTCGAGGCGGAACGGGATGAGGGGCGGGCGGGCTCCGCGTCGGAGCTGCTCGAGCTCCGCCGCGGCCTTGTGCACGCGGTGGCGCGGGGAGGCTAAAACGAATAAAATTAGAGCGAACGCACGTATACCGTACGCGTCGACGTGTACAAAGAACCCTTGTGCACAAAGATCGGGACAAAAAGATCGCACGGGCGCGGGCGGGGACCTGTTCGGCTTAGGGCTTTTTATTTACCCCCATCTCACAGTGTCGAGGTGTCTCCGTTTTTTTTTATTTACGTATACGCGTCTCACGTGTGCCGATATAAAATGTTTCTCTGCGGCACTGCGGCGCTTGATTGGCCCCCAGGTACCGTCTACCGAGCGATTTTTTGCGTCGGAATATTTATTTCAAAATCTGCAGGCGCAGAGGGCGCCTGCGATGTGCGAAAATTTTGAAGGAGAATTTGCGGTCGGTCCTGATTTTCATCAAGATCTTTCAAATTTGCGGTGTGGTGTGGAGTTGGGGGTTTGGTCCGTGGAGGGTTAGAGTTGGGTTAGGGTTGAGGCATAAGGGTTAGGGTGGTTAGGGTTAGGGTGTTAGGGTTAGGGTTAGGGTCAGGGTCAGGGTTAGGATTAGGGTTAGGGTTAGGGTTAGGGTTAGGGCTAGTCTTTTGTTGTGTCTGTATATGCCAGCGTTGCAGGGTTCTGCGCTGGGTTCTGGCCCCAGCGCCGACGAGTAAGACTCAGCCCCGCACGCTGAACTAGCCTTAGGGTTAGGGTTAGGGTTAGGGTTCGAGTTAGGGTCAGGGTTAGGGTTAGGGTTAGTCTTGTTGTGTCTTGTATGCCAGCGTTTTGCAGAGCTCCGCGCTTGGATCTGGCCCCAGCACCGACGAGTAAGACTCAGCCCCGCACGCTGCCTGACCCCACCAATCGCCGCCTCAGGGCGCCAGCCACCTCTCTTACACACGGCCGGCGCCCTCTCGCGGCAAAAGGGTCGAGCGAGCCGAGCGGGCAGAGTCGCGATGTCTGCGCACCCGCGTCACAGTGGTGCCGATGGGCGGCACACGCAACCGAGAGAGGCCCTGTCACGTCGCCAGTAGCGTTCCGCACTCCCCACGCCACCAATTGCCGCGCCTCAGGGCGCCAGCCACCTCTTACACGCGGCCGGCGCCCTCTCGCGGCAAAAGGGTCGAGCGAGCGGGCAGAGTCGCGATGTCTGCGCACCCGCGTGCCGATGGGCGGCACACGCAACCGAGAGAGACCCTGTCACGCCACAGTAGCGTTCTCCGCACTCCCCACGCCACCAATTTCAGGGCGCCAGCCACCTCTTACACGCGGGGCCGGCGCCCTTATCTCGCGGCAAAAGGGTCGAGCGAGCGCAGAGCGAGCGGGGGCAAGAGTCGCGATGTCCCTGCGCACCTGGGTGTTCGCCGCCTATATGCTCTATCCTGTGTGCCAAGACGGACACGTTTTGACAATCAAAATCTACCTCAAAATTTGCGGCCGCCCCTCGAAATTTGCTGATCAAAATTTGCGGTTGGGGGTTGCAGGCCCGGATCGAAACCTGTAGCTGTACGCTGTTCCTGTACTTTGCTCTTTGGCCAAGCGCTTGAGTGTGTGTTTTGCGTACTAAATAACAAAGACACATGGAACCCCGCTGGCGCGCGCGCGTGGCCAGCCGCTCACCCTCTCCACCACCTCCACTCCTCGCTCCTCTGGCTCTGCCGGTCTTAGGCCATCTTGCCGGTCTCAGGTCTCAGCTCTCACCCTCCGGCCGGCAGGCTCCCGGGGGCGGAGCGCTAATGCCTTTCACCCCTCCGTGATCTCCATCTTGATCCCGTCGGTCAGCGGCGTGTCGCGTATTACGCACTTGCGGTAGAGCCCCACAAAGGTGCTGATCGCCTCGGGCGTGGTGAGCGCGTCGAGCTGGCTCATGTCGTCCGCGTCGAGCTCAAAGTCGAACAGGTCCAGGTTCTCCTCCATCCTCTCCGCCTTGACCGACCTGCGCCGGGGAAGAGGGGCGAGCCGCGTGTACCCGGGTTCACGCGCGTGCGTGGCTTGAGAGAACCGCATTCGAGCGGCGTGGCAGCCCCTCTCAGCCGAGGGACTCGATACAGAGGGGCACAGTGCAGAGGCCCGAGTCCCTGCGTCTAGGTCGACCCACTTTGGGATGGCGATGAAGCCGTGCTGCACGCACCAGCGGCCGAGGACCTGCGCGGCGGTCTTGCCGTGCTTCTGCGCAGTCGCCAGGATGGCCGGGTCGCTGAAGGCCTTGCCGTCGCGCAGCGTGCGGTAGGACTGCATCTTCACGCCGCGGCTTTCGAAGGCCGCGATTGTCTTCTTGCGGTAGAGGAAGGGGTTGATCTCGATCTGGTTGATGGAGGGCGTGACGGTGGCCCCGCTGGCCATCAGCTCGTCGAGATCCTGGACGGCATAGTTGGAGACGCCGAGGGAGCGGACCTGCCCCGCCGCCTGCGCCTTTTCGAGCTGGAGGTAGGCTGCGACGTGGCGGCCGGGGACGGGCCAGTGGATGCAGTACAGGTCGAGGTAGTCCGTGCCCAGGTCGGCGAGCGTCTTCTCCAGCTGCGCCTGCACCGCCTCCGGCCCGTCGTAGATCGTGGTCGTCCAGCACTTGGACGCCAGGAAGAGCTGCTCGCGCGGCACGCCGCTCGCGGCGATGCCCTCGCCGACCGCCTTCTCGTTTGCGTAGAATTCGGCGCAGTCTAGGAATCGGTAGCCCAGCTCAAGCGCCTTTGCGACGCAGTCGGCCGGGTTCACCGCCTCGGTCGCGGTCGTGCCGGCTGCGACGGCGCTGCTGGCGGAGGCCGGCACGACACCCACCTACCACGTGCAATGGTAGCTCGACGGTTCACTCTCCGAAGCTTAGCGTTATAGGCTTACCTTGTAGGTGCCGTACCCGACGACTGGGTGCGAACGGCCGTCGTTGAGCTTCACGGTGGGGACACTCGTCACCATCGCCGTCCCTAGCCACAGCAGCATCTATCGCAAAAAAAAACATGTGCACGCAACGCGCTCTCACATGGCAAGCGATCCCACGAATAAAAATCGACAAATCGCGCCGGCTGTCCGCGCGGCGGCTGCGCCAGGCGCTGGCCTGGCGGTCCCAGCCTTGGCTCGAGGCCCACAAAGCGCCGCCTGGAGCCGGTCCAGAGCGCCGTAGCGCATGAGCACCGGCGTAGTCTACGTGCCCGACGACGAGGATGACATCGCCGACGAGCCGCCCAGCGCAGTCTTTGATGCGAACGTCATCCCAGACATGCGGCCCGGCCAGGTGGAGCTGCAGGTCCGGATCTGCGAGCTGCTCGCATGCATCCTCTTTGCGCTGCTGGTGCTCATTAGCCTGACCTGGCGCCAGTACGGCCGCCTCATCCTGCAGAGCCGCTCGTCGACGTCGAAACCTCCGGCCGTGGCAGAATCACCCGAGACGACGGCCATCCGCACGGCGCTCGACGTGCGAGTCGGCAAAAAGCATCGATAGCGGCGGATAGAAGTACCGTGCCTGCGCCACTCCGGTCCTCTCTCACGTCTGGTGCCTGTATGATGTGCCGCGAACACGCTATACACGGCGTACACAAAATGACATGACAGTTCATTAAATGCGGTTGAGGTGTGCGTTGTCAGTCGAGACAAAATCCTCGCAACACACACCAGAAATCGCCTCTCTCTCTCTCTCTCTCTCTCTCTCTCTCTCTCTCTCTGTAACTCTCGCTCGCTCGCGGGCGCTCTCTCCTCTGTCTCTATCTTTCTCTCTATCTCTCTCTCTCTCTGAAGCAAAACCCGCGCTCTGAATCGAAAACTACACACACACCGCGAAGGCCGAGAGACACACAGAGAGACCCGGAGACCAACGAGGCCCGTACGTATACGTACATAAACCCGCAAACGGGGGCGCGGCGGCGGCCGCCGCGCTACTGCTGCTGCTCACCCTCCTCCTCCTCCGCTGCTGCTGCTGCTGCGGCTCTCTCCGACTCAGCAGCCCGAGCAGAGCCGCGTGCAGAGTTTGCTGACCGAGCCCACGTCTGCGGGGCTGTACTCGCAGAGCGGGTCCGAGGTGTGGCACGGCACCGAGAAGGGCTGTGAGCGGGGGGGCGGAGGGCAAGCGTCAGGCAGAGGCGTGGCGAGGGAGGGGAGCTGAGGCCGCGTCGGTGGGCGGCAGCGACAGGCGGAGAGAGCGTCTCGAGCGGCGCGTGGCGAGGGGCGCTGCCATATCTGGGCGCGCCCGTCTGGTGGGGATGTGGGAAGCTTCTCGGAAGTGTCACCTCTCTGGCGGTGACGTTGCAGTTTGCTATCACCGTCGAGGCGTTTGCTGGCTCGATGGTGCACGTACCTATCAGAGCAGCCGGACCGCCCTCCTCGCCACCGCGACCCCGCCCGCCGCCCTTCCGAGGAGGGGGTAGCCACCGGCGCCGTTGCGAGCAAAGCAACACGACCACCACGGCTTGTCGGTGAACCAGTCGATCTCGACGCAGTTGAGTCGCTCGCAGGAGCCGCACTCGCGGAACGCCTCCTGCGCCTCCGGGGAGACGCTCACCGCGATGACCCCGCCGAGCAGCACCAGGAACAGGACGACGCCTACGGCACCGAGCCCGAGCCGCGGCTCCCCCTCGGCCGGTCTGGCGGCGGGCGGGCGGGCGGGGGGGGGGGGGGGAGGCGGCGCCGCAAAAGACGACCTCCTTCTGCACGCACGTGTAGGCATTCTTCCCCGTGCGCGGGTCGACGTGCCGCTTCGAGAAGAGCATCAGCCCGACGACGAGGCCGCACACGAGGCCGCCGAGGTGCATGAAGTTGTCGACCCACGGCGTGAGTCCAATCGCGAGGTTGAGCGCGGTGAGGAAGAGGAGCTGGCAGAGGCCGGCTCCGCGCGTGGTCCCGCGCGCGAGGTAGTTGAGGATGACGTCCGCCCACGTCGCGCCGACGAGGCCAAAGACAGAGGCCGAGGCGCCGAGCGAGAGGACGCCCGGCAAAAAGAGGACGGAGCAGAGGGTGCCGAATAGGCCAGAGAGCACGTACAAGAGCCCTACCCGCCAGAAGCCAAACCGGCGCTCGAGCGCGCAGCCGAGGCTCCCGACGGCGAGCATGTTGAGCAGCAGGTGGATCAGGCCCACGTGCAGCCAGTTGCACGCCACCACTCGCCACCACTCGCCCTCCTCAAAGATGGCCACGTCGTCCTTCGCACCGAGCTTGTCCATCACCGCCGTCGTCGGCCCGAGCAGCGGGTTGGCCTCGCACGCGGCGCCGTCCTCGTAGCAGGGGCGGCCGGCGCAGCTCGCGGGGCACACAAACGGCTGCACCTTCCATTCGTTTTCCGCCATCTCGACGAGGAAGAGAATGCAGCACGCGAGGACAGCGAGCAGGCAGAACCAGGGGCGCCGGCGGCGAGGCTGCTGCTCGGCCGGGAGCGGCGCGTCAAGCTCCTCCAGCTCCGCCTCCTGCAGGCTCCGCGCAAGCGCCGCGTCAGAGTCGGTCGTGTACGCCACCGGATGGCCCATCGGCGGCCTCGGCTCGTCGCCGATGCCGTGGGGCATAGTTATGTGGTCGTCGTAGCCGTCCGCTCGCGAGGGGCGCTTTGGCATCTGTGTCTGCAGACCGACTTGTGCGGGCGCGGAGCCCGTCCGCTTTACGATAACATCGAAGTGCTCTCCGAGGCAAAAAAGAATTTTGGAACGCTCGACCTCGCAAAAGAATTTCACAACGAAACTCCCTCGCACAACACTGGGCACGGGACTGGCGCGCACGGGCACTTACACAGGTACACCAAAAAAGAAAGGCAGAGGCGAGGTACGGGACTGGCGCGCACTGGCACTATAAACACAGGCACACAACGGGGAGAATCACTGTGAGAGTCGTGATTTCTTGTTGGTTAATAAAAATCTCTCTCACAACGGGAGCCGCCTAAGCGACTCCCGCGAGGGCGACGAGGCACTTAGCTTCTCCGTGCAATCGACCAAAAAAAGAATCCAATCCACCGCCCACTGGCGAGCGGCGAGACGAGTACGAGAGAGACAAAAACTATAGCCGCAGACTCGCACTCGCCGTCCCGCTTGCTACCTTGTACTTTTAGCTTACTGGAGGAGAAGAGGGAGACTCACCTTGTACGAACGAGTCCCTCGTTGCAATCTTCTGTCTCACCCTCCCTAAAGGCTCCCGGGCTGAAGAAGGCCAACCTCTCCGCCCCTCTCCCGATCCGCGCCAACATGTCCTGCAGAAGCTCCAGGTTCCTTCGGCTGGCCCGCCCGCCATAGCGCGTCAGGATGGTGTCCAACTGCTGCACGCTCTCCTCGTCGGAGGCGTCAGCTTGCGCCGTCGCAGAGAGGCTCAGGCTCTTGAAGACGGGCTTGCACAGCTCCACCCCTGGCTCCATCGGGCCGTCGCCCTCTGCAACTCGCGCGCAATCGCTCGTCTCGCACCCGTGACCTACGGCCGACAGGAAGAGGTGGTCACGCGGCCGGCTGCAAAAGGCTGCCCGCAGCGAATCGCCGCGCCCCATGCTGCTCCTTCGAGAGCACGGATCTGAAAGGGTGGCGCCTGTCCAATGTGGTGCAGGCGTGAGGATATCCGGGTCGACGATGCGCCCTCGGGTGTGATTGCACCTGAAACGGCCTCGACCCCACACCGGAGCCGCTGAGGTGGTGCGACCACTTGAGTGAGCGCACGAGCTCGACAGCCGCGTCGTCCGCAAACTGATAGACGCGCCTCTTGGTGGTGTTGCAGCTGGCGTTGGCGGCGGGTGGGAGCATACCGAGGCGCCAGGCCACGTAGTCGAACGAGATCTGATCGCGCTGGTGCGCGCTCCGCCAGCGCATAAACTCCTCGTACCAGTGCTCTCCGAGCCTGACCGCCTCGAGCGCGGTGCCGTCGCGCAAGTGCCACTCGCCTTCGATCAGGCTCCCCTTGCGGGGCCGATAGCCGCGCCTGACAAACTCGCGCCATTGGGCAAACACCCCGGCCGACGCCTTGCCAATCGTGTAGATGCAGGCGATCTCTTGTGCGGCGGTCGTGCGGGTCCGGTGCCTTGGCGCGATCCAGGCCGGCACGGCCGCCGGTCCACCCAACGCCGCGCTGCCATCGACCGAGGGCGGCGCGTACGATGCCATTGCGTACACCTAACAAGAGCAGGGAGAACCGGCGTCGGCACAGGGCTGCAGAGCCGCATGGCACACGCCCCGGGGCGCAAACCGCTGCCCACACCGCCGCCGGCTTGGTGAGCGTCAGCTTGGCGTCCATGTACAAGAGGTAACGCGAGTGGCGCAGCACGCAATGCGATAGCATCTTGACGACGCGCGAGTTCTGCACCGCGTCGCCTGCGAGCAAGCCACGCCCGGATGTTGGAGCCGCCCCTCTGCTGACGCGACGCGCAGATCTGCCGCTCTGCAAACCTGCGCCGTGCGGTAGCATGCCCGCCTTCAGCGTCACCACCTTCCACACCTGAGCGGAAGCGTTTGCTGAGCAGCGTGTCTGGAAGGAGGAGCGAGGGGCTAGGAGGGGGGCGGATTGGGCAGGCGGTGGGGAGTGCTTGGTGGGAGGGGGTTCGCGGGGCTTGTCGAGGGCGCGTCTCGCTGGCGGCCTGCCCGACGCGCAGCATGTCGGTCCTCCTGCGCAAGACGCGGCTTGCGAATGGGTTGTCGACGCGCGAGTGCAACGAAAGGTCGCGGGCGAGCGTCGGCAGCGTCGGCTCGTCAGTGAATAAGAACCAGCAGGAGCTCGGCCTGCCAAAGCTCGCTCGCTCGTGCGCCCGCAGTTTGGCGCGAAACTCACCTGCGGGCGATTGGCGGCGGATCAGGCGAGAGGCGAGGACCACGGAATCGCAACATGCGTTCGCCGTCATAAACGGGCGCGCGGTCGTAGTAACCGCCCATGATTGCCGTGAAGACGGAGAGGGTGCAGTCGTGACCGTGCCGCTCCGGGTGGTCGAGCGCGGGCTCGAAACGGAAGCGAGGCGCGAGGGTGTCGCACCGGTCTGGAGGACGAGCCGAGGCAGCGGGGTGGTTTTGCCCAAGAACGAAGGGAACGCGCGGGCACGCGCCCAGCCTCGGCCGGTCGAGCTCGCGGAAGCGCGGGTGCGCCTTGAGCAGCGCCTTGCACGGGTCGACCGCCTCGGCGCGTGTGTTCCTCCCATCCTCGGGCGTCAGGTGGATGCGGAAGATAGCGCCAAGCCGGTCGCTCACGTCGACGTCCGCCATCTCACTAGCACCACCGTGTGCCGCCGCCGCCCACGCGCCGTTGTAGATCGAGTCGCCGTACGCGCCGGGGAGGGACGAGGCGGACGGGACGCTGCGGGCGGTGCGCGCCAAGTAGATTGCCAGCGAGAAGGAGGAGAAGCCGGTGCCGACGAAGCGGGCGGACCGCACGCCGAGCTCGAAGTCGAGCTGGCCGACCGCGTCGTCAAAGCCCCCGAACGAGGCCGCCCAGCCGGGGGCCGCCCTCGCGAGGAGCGTTTCCTTGGAGTAAAAGGCGGCGCCTTGCACGCTCGGGTGGTGGAGGAGGGAGCGGGGCGCGCTCTCCACGCTGGCGTTGAGCAGCCGCGAGCGCAAGCCCGCGAGCGCGGGCCCATCCCAGCCAACGCCGAGCACGAGCACGCGCGCCGGCGAGCCGCAAGCGGCGCCGCAGCTCTCCACGGCGCGCCCGAATGCGACGGCCATCGCCTGCGTGTACTTCCGCACCGAGAGTGCGTGTTGCGAGCCGGTAAAGTCGGACTCCCCCCGCCAATGGACGCTGACGTACGCGCCCGGCGCCGCCGCAGCCGGAGCGATCGCCGCCTCGGCCGAGTCGGCGAGTGCCTGGGTGTCGGCCAGCGTCACAAGGGCAGAGTTGACCTGCCGCACCAGCCGCAGCGAGCGCTGCGTGTCGGGGATGAGGAGCGTGCAGCACATGTGCGCGCGCGACCACGACCAGAGCGCGACCTGCTCGCGGAGGCCGAGCCTGGAGGGGGGCGCGCGGATCGTGCCCGCTCTCCACCGCTCCTCGAGCACGCTCGCGGCGATCGGCATGTTGACGGCCGTCGCCTCGGGCGCGAGCACAGGCAGGTGGCAGCTCGTGTGCTCAAACCAGCGCGGCGTCTGCTGGAGCGACCGGAAAGGGCGCGAGGCGAGGGTGACCGCGACGGGATGGCCGTCGATCGCGCAGACACCAGCCGCGTCAAGCGCGGCCAGGGTTGCGTTCCGGTCGAACACGCGCCACAGCCGCACGGAGGGCGCATAGTCCTGGTAGCAATGCGCGTCGTAGCCGCAGTTGCGCCGGCTCGCGACGTAGACGGGCAGCGCGACGGCCGCGCGGGCGAGGACCGACGCGGCGATGTCCTGCACCAGCCGCAGTCGAAAGTTGTTGAGCCCCTTGGGGATGGTTGGCACCAGGACAACGCCGGTGGCCTCACGGCACGCGGCTGACGACGGGTTCCAGGCGAGGCGTGAGATCCGCGCCGAAACCTCCTCCGGGGCTTCTCCGGCCGCCCAGCTGCACGGGTCACGCATGCCAGAGCACCGAGAGCATCAGTCGAGCTGAACGACGACGGACGACGGCAGGGCTCGCGAAACGGGGGGGGTGGTGGGGCCGCGGGGTGGAACTGCCCGCCGCCGATAGAAGAAAGAATTCTCGCGAAGCCGGCAGAAAATCCCTCGACTACCGCCCGGCCAAGCACCACGCGCGCTCCGGCTGGGTTGAGATCACCCCCGGCAGCCCTAGCCAGGCCCCGCGCGCTGGCCGCGACCGCGACCGCGGCTCTCGCTCGAGCCCGACCGAACTGCCCGTCAGACATGTCGGACTTGTCGGAGAATAGCGACTAGCACACCTCTGTCAAGAGTCCCCAGAAACCCGAGGAGTCACACAGTCCACCTGTGTGATGCACGCCCTGCGAGCGGGGCGGGGTTATAGCGGGGTGCGCACTGTGCCTCTGTGTTCGTGCGTCGCCCATATGCATATCTCCCGGAGGTGACTGCTCTATTTATTTATTAGGGGCGGAGTCGGTCGACGCAAGTGAGGAGCGGAGAGACACTTCTTACACGGACGGCGTAGTCGTGTGGACGGACGTCAATCAGGTTCAGGACGTAACGGACACAACGGTCAACGCAAGAAGGCGAGAACACGCGGCTTGAGAATAAATAGAAGGGAAGGTTTTGGAGGAGACGTCGGGTCGAAGCCCGCCACTCACTCTCTCCCTAACCCTAGCCTTCTCCCGAACCCTAAGTGTGTTTTGATTGCTTTGCCTCTCCGTGCTTTCACACTTCGCCTTGCCCTAGCTTGGTGTCGTGTCCGTCCTACGTGATTGCGTCCGAGGTCCGTCCACGACTACGTAGTCTCTAGAGAGCGTCCTTCGATCCCCTTCTGGTGTCGACCGCGCCCCCCGCGGGGGCTCGGCCGAACGGGAGAGAGTGTGCGCTGTGAGCTGTGCAGGTCCGGCCCGGGGCGGCAGATTTTATACCCTCGATTTATGCCCCGAGGCGGTGCCCGGCGCCGAGCTTTTATTTAGGGTCGGACCATTGGTGGATCCCTGGGCGAGGGGTGTGGCGAGTGTGGGAAGAGATTGGTAGCTCAAACGCTAGCACTCCGCCCTCCCAGCACGCGCATATCTTGTGGAGGCTGCGCTCCAGCCAGTGATCCAGTGCAAGCCATCTTGACTTACACAAAGATGGGAACTACTGCGCGCCGCGCCAGTCACCCTCTACTTGCAGCCCGCGTAATGCCTCTCAGTCTCCTGTGTTAGTGCCAGTGCGCGCCAGTCCCGGGCCTAGTGTTGTGCGAGAAAGAGTTTTGTTGTAAAACTCTCAGTCTCCATCTCTCTCTCTCCCGTTATCAACAACACCCCCCGCCCCCCCCTTATCCGTTAAGTAACACTTCTTGCACTATTCTAGGTAGTAAGGCACGTTGTTGGCTGACACACACCACCACAGTATTGAAATCATCAAATGTGATCGGCGTCTGAGACGCCGAGCTAACCGCCAAATTGCTGCGCCCGCCATCAAAAATGCCGACCAACTCTCAAGTGCCTACGGGAGGGCCCTCCGAGCCCTCGCCTCCGCCCGCGGCAGGGACGGCCGGCGCCACGGCGGCCGGGGAGGGCGCGGACGGCGCTGGCGGGGCCGAGTCGAAGGACCTGCCTCCGATTGCCGAGTCGCATGTCACGGTGGAGCCAACCACGGGCATCCAGCCTGAGCCCAACCCGAGCGAATCCCTCAAGCGCCACCGCGAAGAGGGCTCTCGTGTGGTCCTCCCGGGCCAAGGGTACGCCGGCTCCTGGCAGCCGTCGGCTGATCCGCAGACGCCGCATCAGCTGCTGCCGCAAACCGGCTGGGAGGCGGCGGTCGCCACGGCGGCGGCGGCGACGCATACGGCGACCACGGCGCCGCCGCCGGCGGCCCGCAGCCGCAGCAGTCCCCCTCCGCAAGTCGGCCAGCTCAGCGACGCCGAGCAAATCGCGCCCAAGCCTGGCGGCGGCACCGGCGGAGGGGCAGAGCGCTCGCGGCCGCGCAACGCGCTCGAGCGGCGGGAGTGGACCACCGAGGAGGACGACATCATCCGGTCGGGCGTCAAGCAGTTTGGCTACCGGTGGCGCCGCATCGCCTCGCTGCCGCAGCTGCAGGGCCGCTCGGACGACGCGGTCCGGAACCGGTGGTCCCGCCTCAAGGGGGGAGGCGACACGACCACAGCCTCGGCGCCAGAGGAGGCCGCCGCCGCCGCCGCCCCCGGCCAGGCCGACAGGGGCGGCGAGGGCGGCGAGGGCGGCGCGAAAGGCGACGGCAGCGGGCCGGATGCCGCGCCGCCGCCCGTGCGCCGACGCTCCTCGACGGGCAGCGCCGGCGAGGACGGCGGCGGCGGCGCCAAGCGGGAGCGGATCGGTTGGACGCAGGCGGAGGACGCAATCATCATCTCCACAGTGCGCGAGATTGGGCACAAGTGGTACCGCATCGCGCAGCGCATCCCTGGCCGCACCGAGCACGCCATCCGCAACCGCTGGCAGCGCCTCCTCCGTATGGTCGAGGACACGCAGCCGCCCCCGTCGCCATCGCTCTTCCAAGCCGTGGGCGGGGCCGGCCCCGAGGAGCCCGCCCGCTGAGGCAGGGGCAGCCGCCCCCCTCCCCGGAGCGGGGTGAGGGGGCGAGCAGCGGCGCCGCTGAGCCCGGCAGCCGCGCAATTCGCGCGTTGGGAAGCGAGGAAAGGCCACGCACAATGAGCAGTGAGCTATCGCATCCCCCCGCATCCGACACAATCTGTGTCTGTCCGATTCTTGTCTCGGCCCGAACAAGCTCGTAGAGAGGCTCGTGAGGCTGCTGCGTATGGATGGGAAATGTTGACGGGAGCCCTGTGTGTCCGCGCACGTGTGTGCTTACTCTCCCACGCGAACTGCGGTGCGCGTTCTGCGCGCGGGCTGAGTGGAGAGTTGAGAGTGGAGGACAGGACTCAGGAGAGAGTGCGGCACGTGCCCACGCGTGCGTTTGATCTGAATCTGAAGAAGACTCTGACACAGCAGTCCTCCTCCGGGAATGTACGTACTGTCGAGGACTAAAGTCTGCCCAGGTTGTCGGGGACACGATCACACGAAGCACGAATCGAATCCCGGCATGAACACGCCGATCTGGCAAAATCCCGAGTGCCTTCGCGGCGCGTGCGGTAGGCTTTGTTTGAAGTTAAAAGTCGAATCAGAGCGCCGTCGGCGCTGATCCTCGTTTTCCTCCCACGGACCGCCCGTCCGGCACCGCTCCGGGAGACCGGGACGCACGCCGGCGAAGCACCATCAAGCTGCTGTACGGCCCCGGCATCGCCTCCCCTGGCTTAGCTAGACTGAGATATATTGTGCACATGGTTAGTCTTTACAATATATACACTGACACTTTACCTCCCAGAGCTCGTCCCGGTCCGCCACGGCCATCCTCGGCCTCCGGAGGGCCCCCGGCCGCGGCGCGGTGCGGCGGCGTCACAAATCCGACCACAGAGCACCGGGACGCGGTCGGGCGATCTGAGGCCCAACTAGGCGTATGCATTGCCCATCCAGGGCTATCACCTGGACCTATTCAACAGGCGCCTGCGGCGCCGTGCTCAGCTAGCTGCTCAGGAGCTGCTGCTCCAACCTGTTCACACTTTCGTACGGCACAGTAAGAGCTACATACACAACCCCCTCTCCCCTTTCTCCCAGAAAGCTAAAAGTGCGTACGTACACTGAAAATTTCTTGAATGAATGCGAGGTAATTCCGTCAAATAACTTGAAGGTCGCGTCAATTCAAAAGTCACGGCGGAAGAAGGAACCAAGGCCCGCCTCTGGACTGGGCGCTGACTGGCTGGTCTGCAGGAGCTCGACGTGTGCAGCAACCGCTCCGCGCGCTGCCCGCCTCAGCCGAGCGATGATCACAGAAAACAGTCTGTCCTTGCAGCGACTCCTCTCCTTATGCGCGTCCGACATCATGCCGCGGGCTGAGTCGCATGACGTTCTGCCAGTTGCCGTCGCCTGTAGCTCGCCGCTCGCGAAGAAACGGACCCACAACAGACCTGCTGACTCAAACGACCAACACCCGCAGCCAGCCGTGCCTCGCTTTCGTCGCCGGACTCAGTTGTGCCTCGCTTTCATCGCCCTCGTATTTGTGCTGGTGATTGCGAGGTCGGCTGTGCAGACCGTCGTTGGCAATTCCGTGCTGAAGCTGGAAACCTTCAGCCTCGCGGCTGGCGACGGAAGCTCGCTGCTCGTCGAGGCGACAGGCGTTCTCGACCTGATTCCTCTTCCTTTCGGCTGCAGCATAACCGGGGCCAGCCTCGACGTCATGCACGGTGGTGGGGTGGTGGGCCGGCTGGAGGTGGGTCGGATTTCGCTCGACAGAGGCGGTGCGGTGCCAATCACCATCGCCGGCCCAATGGCTGTGCCGCTCGGGCTCGGTCCACTCCAGGCCCTGAGCGCTGCGGTGGTGCAGGAGTCGGAGCTCGAGCTCGACGTGGCTGGATGGGTGGACGTGCATGTGCCGCTGCTCGGCCACTTCCGCCAGCTCTCGCTTGTGAAACGGCTACACCTCAGAGGCGCGGGGGGACTCGACCCTCTGATCGACTCGTTCGAGCTTCAGCCAAACCAAGGCAACGCCACCGTCGCGCTGTCGATGGGGGTGCGCATCCGGAACCCGTCGTCCTTCCAACTCCTCTCCATCGGCGTGCTCGACTTCTCCATCCTGACAAGCGACGGCACGGCCTTCGCAAAGGTGTCGACGGTCGGACCCGTCAGCATGCGGAGAGGAGTCACTTCACTCTCGCTTACTGGGCATCTCGCCGTCCCCGACGAGGAGTCGGATGCGTTTCGCGCGGTGCTCCATGACTACGTGTCGGGCAGGGCGTCGACAGGGTTGACCGCTGTCATCACCGCCGCCAGCGAGCCGCTGTTTGATGCCGCGCTCTCGTCTCTGCGCCTCGACACGTCGCTTCCAGGCCGCCCAGGCGGCGCGCACTTTTTCGACGAGATCGCAATGTCGCTGGACGTCCCGCAGGCGCTCACTGGCTTGGTGACGAGCAAGCTGGTAAACCCGTGGGGCGACGCAGTCGTCCACGCCTCCGCGGCCTGCCGCGTATCCAACCCGTTCAACGTCTCGGCTTCGGTCCAGGCAATCTCGATAGGCATCGTCTACGGCGGCTCCAAGGTTGGCTCCGTCACGATGCCGCGGCTCGACCCGCCGCTCGCACTCGCGGCCGTCTCGCGCCGCCCGTCGGACCGCGCCTTCCCGATCGTTCTGCGCGCACCCGCCACCACCCTCAACACGCTACTCCTCGAGCTGCTCGCAAAGGGCGCAGTGACAGTGGGGCTCGACATCTCTCTCGACCTCAGGGTCGGTGTGGTGGGGCGGGGCACGGGCAGCGTGATGCAGATCGCATATGCGGAGCCCGAGGTAGCCGTCCGCGCCTCTCTCGGCGGAGGTGAAACTGAAAGGGCGGCGTCCGCGGCGTCCGCGGTCGCCGGAGCGACGTCGACAGCTGTGCAAAAGGGCGTGGCTAGCCCCGCCGCTCGCTTGCTCGAGAACAGAATCGGGAGCGAGCAGGGTGGCGGCGACACATACTCGTACGGCGGCTGGCTCGGCTGAGCCGTAGAGCGCTGCACACATGCGCTAACTCCCAGAGCCAGCCGAGCCGGCAAAACCGCACCCTCGCGCTCGCCGCGCCGCCCCACCCCTAGCTTTCCGCTCAATAAGATTTGTCGATGCGGGGCTGTGTCATGCGCTTTATTCGACCAGCCCTGCTGTAAGGGTCACCGTGTAACTCTCTATACTCGTACGGGGTATTCACGTAATTATTGTACGTGTCTCATTTTGTCACTATCGCGTGTGGAGAGGTTCACAGGCCACTCTATCCTCTCTCGCGCGTTCCCGCTGGTCCCGCCCTCCGCCAGAGAGAACAATCGACCTCGGCGTCACTCGCGCGTCCAGCGTGGCAACGCGCTCGGCGCCGTAGGCTTTGGCCATTGAGCCGCAGAGAAACGCATATTGCATTGCATCCGTGAGTCGCATGCTCTCAAGCTGAACGTAGAGCTCGGTCTTCAGGCAACAAGGCACCACCATCCAACTCGCGCCGCACTCCCGCGCCATCTCCACCGCCTCCACATTCACCTCGTTACAGCCGTGCACGCACAAGACGAACGTCTCGCCGTCGACGCGCACCCGCGGCTCGCCCGACACCAACTCAGCCGCCTCCCCCTCCACGAACTGGGCGTTGCCAAGGACGTCTCCTTCCCCCGCGCCGGCCGCGCCGGCCGAGCGATGCGTCGCTCGCCACGCGTCGACGTACGCCGTGTAGGCTGGCCTCTGCCTCCGGTCGACGCCGACCACGGAGAGGGCGGGGAAGCGGTAGGCGAGCAGCAAACCTGCGGGTGCGGCGAGGGGAAGGGCAGCGGTGACGGCGCAGCGACGCGACCTCCGCGAAATGTGCACCGAAGGCACCGACGAGGCCGTGGCCGCACGCCACGTCGACGGCCCGCTGGACGGAGGGCGAGCACGAACGGCCTCTGCGTGTCGCCGCCTTGCCGCGCTGGACGACCGCGTCCGGGTCGCTGCGCAGGACCGCCTGCTCCGCCTCCGCAAACACCTGGCCGCTCTCGAGAATCTCCTTGACGCGCGCGAAGCGGCCGTGCTGCCGCTCGAGCTGGGCAAAGACCTACAGGTGGGTTCCGAGAACGTTCAGGCAAGCGTCCACCTTTGCCGCCGGCTATCGCTGTGGTCCAGAGTGGCCTCTGGAAGAAGAGGCCGGCTCGGCATCAGCTCTCTCAGGTACCTCCACAGCATGAGCCGTTTGTGCGGCGCGAGGCTGGAGATGGTCACGTGCGGCGCGACACCGGAGCCGTCCGCACGCGATCGCGACGGGAGGCCGTCGAGAAACGCGGGGAGGGAGAAGGCGCAGGTGACGAGCGCTCGCTGCTCGTCGAGCGCGAGCGACGCCTCGGACCAGCTGCTGCGCTGAAAGGCGGCCCAGTGCCCCGCTGCCGCCGCCTCCGCCGCGCGGTGCTTCTTGCCCGCCAGGTGCTCCTCGAGCTGCTTCTTGCGGTCAAACGTCAGCGCGCAGACGGCGCACGAGTAGAGCGGAGCCGCGGAGGACGGCTCGTCGCGTCCGATTCTACCCTGCCACTCTCGTCGCCGATCATCGGCTGCAGCAGCGCCAGCGTAGTCGGTGTCGAGCTGCTCGATGCCAGGCAGGCCTGCTACTGCCCGGCCATCGCCTCCGTGCCCTCCACGAGTGAGCACGCGGTGAGCGACGGCGGCATGGTAGTCACGCTGACGATCCGCGCTCCAGCCTCCTGGTCGGTGCGTGGGCACCGGCCTCGAGCGCCGCGCAGGCGGCTGGAGGGCCGCGCTGAGGAATAGCAGTGAGCACGATACGGCCATGGGCGTTTGACCGCGAGGCGCAGGAGCGGGAGAAGGCGGAGCGGCAGGCGCGGCGGGATGCGGAGGAGGCGGAGCGGGCCTCGCTCCTGTGGCTGGAGCAGAACTAGCGCGGTGCTGCCGGGGGCGGTGGCGGGTGGGTGGGTGGGGGGTGTGGGGGGGGGGGTCCTCTTCCGTCGAGCCTGAGACAGGGGATTTGGGGGTCTCGCGGATTCAGTATTTTTTAGGTGTATGTAGCTCGTAGGAACCCCGAAGGTGGACTGCTGACAGGGTTTGCGATTTTTTAGGGTGACACCAGTTGGTGACACAGACGAAAGTTTCACAGCTCTCTCTCCTTTCAAAAATTAAATATTCTTAGCTTCGCCCTTGCCTCCGAGACTAGGGACAGTCACCATCCGTACACAGGAGAGATGGGAGTGCGCCTCGCCCTCGCTTGCCCTGTCTGCACAGGATAGCGTGCCCCGATGACGGCGACACTTAGCGAGGGTCACTGGTCTGCGCAAGGAGGTTTGGTTGTGCTTTTTTTCTTTTTTGCTCTCGGGGGAATGTTCTCTCCGCGCCCATGGCCTTCTGAGGTTTCGTACTAAATGACTGTGTGTCTGTTGTGTCTAATTCCCCCGGTAATGTGTTCTACGGATATCGGTCGCTGATTGAACGCTCTACCTCTAGACTATCATCTACTCTGCTTACTTCGGCCGTCGGCCGCTCGGTGGTCGAGTGGCTTCCGGATCGAATCGGCAGATTGACCCTTATAATTTTTTCACACCTGAGCGGGCCCAATTTTGCTCAGATGCACCTCCGAATTCGAAATCGTGTCCTCACGCTTAGCGCTTGGTGTGCGTTCGTTTTTCGTCACGGGTACGATGGCTGCTCTCTCTCCTTTCATCGTTGTGTCCAGGTGCGGAATCCGCACCTGTAGAGAGAGAATGAGAGATGCCTGGACTGGGGCAGAACGGCAGTCGGCGAACCGGCCGCCGTATCGTCTCGAGAGGTTTCGCGTGGGTCGGCGAACCGACGGCAGTATCACTGCAGTCGTACGACGCGAAACGGACACACATAACGGGACAGTACTACACTACTATCGTTCATACCATCGCTCATACTATCGCTCATACTCGTATCAGTCAGTTCGCCAAAGGTACTGTGGGCGGCATGCAGTTACAGCTGCCTTACCGTCTGCGTCCATGGCTGGCCTCGCCACCGCACGAACAAGGCTCTCATCCTCAAGCTGGGCACCTGGTGCGCACAAAGCTAACATCGATGCCACCACCCTCCCATCCGACTTGCGACAGCCTGTAGCCAAGGCGGTGGAAGTGGGAGAGGACCGTGGTCGCCTCCCCGAGAGAAATCTGGCGGAGGTGGCCGCGGGGCTGGGGTTGCGTTGTGCAGTGAAGCTCTGCGCTGAACTGTTCCGGCAGCGCCACATCTGAAATGCGCCACGACTGGAGGATAGGCCATTCAAAGCCCTCGATGTCCATCTTTAGGAGTGAGAGGCGCTTCGAGTCGTGGCCCAGATTGCGGTAGACCGTGCGCAGCGTCTTGTAGCGCGCGTCAGGCATACCGTCGGTCGATGCGATGCAAAAGGGGTGGAACCAGTGCCTCGTGCGAATGAGATGCGTTGAGTTGTACCTCGATGCACAGCGCTGCTTGGCTGGGGTCTCGCAACGCGCGCTGTCTAGCGTGCAGTCGAAGGTGTGCACGGTGCATCGCGTTGAGCGCAAAAGATTGTCTTCGAACTGATAGTTGCCTGCCGAACCGAGCGAGTACACAACGCACTCTGGATCATCGGCGAAGGCCTTCCATCCACAGCTTTCTCGGTCCCCGTCCTTGCGCCGTGCTCTCCAGGTCAGCTCCGGGACGCTTGTTTGCGATCCAGCGCAGGAGGCAGTCACGGCGCTCCGCCAGAGTTCGTAGTTTGGGCGTAGCTTGTAATGGACTGGCGACGAGCTATTCTTACGCAAGCCGCACCCCTCGTCAGTGAGCGGCAGCATCGACATGGACCACCGTTCCACGCCCGAGGGGTGACGGACGGATGAGCGAGGTTCAGGTTGTTGAGAACGTCGCAGCTCAAGACCTCGCGTTGTGATGGCCTCACTGAGCCGAGCAAGGCTTGATTGCTCCCACACGAGGACTTGTTCCTCGATCTGCGCGAGCCGCGTCGCCGTGTAGAGCGTGCGCGCACCCTCGCAAGCGACGTGCTTGTGACCATACATGCAAACACCTCTCCGACGGGCGCTCGACTGTTCTCTGCGCGACTGCGCTCGTATAAGTGTATCCTAAGTTTCTCCGAGACCTCGCGAGCGGGCAGTTATTCACACCCGGCAAGTGTGGTTTGGGCAGGGCAGGGCAGTGTGGGTTTCACACCCGGGGCAGGTAGGCGCCGACGACGATGCGGTTCGAGCCCGAGCCCGTGGAGCGAGGGTTAGGCTGTATATCTGTGATCTGTGATCTGTGCACTGTGGAGGGTCCGCCCGCAGGCGCATTTTGTATACCGAGGCGGTGCCCGGTGCCGAACCTGTCGGACCTTGAGACAGCGTTGTAGGCTGTATATACTTTTCCTCTCGCACCCCGTCTCTTTTCCTTTCCTTTTTTCTCTACAGCACCCTCTCTTTTCCTCTCTATTTGCCCGGGGAAACCATCAAATTTTCCGGGCTCTGAGCCGAGTCTGAGGCTGGTTTGGGCCCAAAATCAGCCAAATCGGCAAAATGCCGGGTATTTTGCGGGTAAACCTGGAAAAACCCGGGTATACCTGGAAAAAGCCCGGGAGGTTGCCGGTTTCCTCGATTTTGCCTCAGATTTTGCCCCAGACCAGCTCTCACCTCTCAGACTCAGGGAAACTCGCGAGTTTCCAGAATGGAGCACCAAACACCCTCTGTTTTCCCTGGAAATTTCCGGAAACGCAAAGTGCTGGGGCCCCTCTGTTTTCCTTTTTGTTTGCCGGAAAAGTATATACAGGCCAAAGCGAGGGTTGGGCCGTGGGCCGAGAGGGTCCCAACTCCCATCTGAGCGGCGGGCAGCGCGGCGGGGGTCAGTGTGGCCCGGGAGTATATACTCGTGCAAAAAGCCTGGTGCCGTGCAGGCGCTGCCACCGACGACAAGGTCGAGCATTGCAGACCCGCCGTGTTTACTTTACGCATTACTCGCCCAAAACTAACACAACACATACATGGATACGTACACCAAGGAGCTCGCGTCAGCGGTGGCGCCACGCCGCGCGGCTACAGGTTGACGTCCAGCACAACGAGCAAGTCGTCCGCGGCGACGTTGAGCAGCTGGCGCGCGAGGTCATAGAAGAAAAACTGGCCGGCGATGATGGCGCCCGACCAGACACAGCGCGCGCCAGCGCCGAGGTAGAAGCCTGCAAGGGTCGTCCACGGGCGGCGGGAGTGCGAGCGAACGAGGCGACGGGCTGTGCCAGCCCTCGCGTCAAGGCAAGAGAGGTAGGAGTATAGATCGCGGCCAAATATCGGCCAGATCTCGGCTATATCTCGGCGGCGCACCCCCGACGCCGTACTCGGCGACGATCTCGCGGGCCGAGCGCAGCAGTCCAGGAGAAGGCGGCGGCGGCGGCGGCGGCGCGCGCGCGACAGCGGCGGCGGAGGCGGCGGCGCGTGGCGCGGCGGTGGCAGCTGTGGCAGCTGTGGCGGCGGCGGCGGCGGTCGTGGCGGACGACGCGGTGGCGGCGGCGGCCGCGCCGCGGTTCATGCGCGACAGGATCGTGTCAGCGGGCTGGGAGATGAGGGAGGAGGCGACGCCGGCGACCAGGCCGGCGCCGAGGGAGAGGAGGAGCTCGGTCTGCGCCTACGGGCACATCTCGGCTCACCTCGGCGGATCTCCCTCGGTGCGGGCGGGGGGGGGGAGGGGCTCGGCGCCGACTCTCCGAGCTGGGGCGCCACCTCGAGCACCGCCCCCACCACGAAGTCGAAGGTGAAGAACTTGATCATCCCAAAGATGACTTGGCGCAGCACGAGCGGGCGGAAGCCAGAGTAGAGGAGCGAGCGGAGCGGTGCACCCGCGGCCTCCGCCTCGGCGCGCAAGGCGGCGAGAGCCCCGCCCAAATCGGAGCCTGCGGTGGGGGAGGGGCGGGGGCGCGGGGCCATGAAAGACCGCGGAGACTCAAGCGGCGTGGCAGGCTGTCGGAGGTGTGTCGGGGGGTGTCGGAGGTGTCGTGAATGGGTCGGAGGTGTGTCTCTGTAGGAGGCGTGCCTCCGCCGTACGCCTCCGGGCGAGAGACCATCCGGATGCGAACCACCTCGGCGGGGCAGACGCCGAGGCAAGCCACCACCGTCGCGCAGGCGCCCGAGAGGAGGACCACCTGAGAGGGGCGGGCCGCGGGCAGAGGGTGGGGTGGGGGGGGGAGACGGCCCACCGCCCCGCCACGCGGGCGAGGGGAGGTGCGCCGGCGCGTGCAGCGAGGCGGCGAGGGCGGGGCCGAGCTGGAGGTCGAAGGTGCGGCGGAAGAACTCGAAGCCCGGGTAGACGGTCGCTCCGTAGTAGGCGTACCTGCGGGGGGGAGGGGGGC